ACGGTCGTCTTTTGACAAGGACGTACGAACAGCAACAATAACAACAGAAGGCAGAGATAGTCCGTCCTACTTACCAAAGTTAACCACTTTTCTTCTGCCCTAGATCTCAACTCCTGCACTACCTCCACAGCATTTGAAATATCTGCCCCCTTAACTCCATTCACATAATCACTACCTATCATTAGTAGAATAATATGTAATGATCAAATGTCTAATGAAGCAATATTTCTTATAGCTTCTGAGCACTGAACAAAATTCAGTCCACCAATTCTTTTCTTTGCCTCTCTAAGAACTAAATACCTGTGAGTTCTACTTCCATTTAGCTGTCCTTCCTTGCTCTGGTATTGTTTATAGCAAGAATATCAACACCAATATTATTTACTTCTTTTGACAATGTCCATTCATTCATCATTGTCAAAGGACCTCACATTACTTGTATTTGGAGTACCAGAAGGCAAATTCAAATTTCTTGATCTGAAAACTGATTCTTGGCATCCTCCCACATTGCCAGAGTCATTATGGAAGTGAGTGACCCTAAAAAGCTGTCCACCAATACTTCACTGTAGTAAGGATGTGACGCTGAGTTCTTAGAATGTATTTCAGTGGAGTACAAGCTGAGGTTGGTCTTAAAAGGCTGGAAAGATTCAGAGTTTAGCCCTCATAACAAGTTTGTTTTTTGAGGGACAACAAGCTAATTACGAAAAGGTAGATACTTAATAAGCAGGGTGGTCACCTGGTAATAATTTTTTCTTTTTTTCCCCCATGGCAACTCATGCAACAAAGAAAAAAACAGTACAAAAATAACTGATATTGTTAATGATATACAAGAAATTTCTTCACTAAAACATACTTTTTCCCTAACTCTATAACATAACAATAGTTTAATGAATAGAGGAAACATTTCACTAAAATTTTTTGTGAAGCTCATCAAGTTTTGTGTTATAGAAATGTGCAAAATCAACTCAGAGGGAAGCAAAGTATCACCCTAAGGTTAGCATCTTTCTATGTTGGGTAGCTTACATTGGCTATGGGGGTAAGAGTGTCAAATTTAAGCATATGGGCTAAAGAGGCTTGTTTCAACTTCATCTGCAAGGATTAACAGAAAGAGTGACAACATCTAAAAGATTTACCTGAGCAGAATAACAACATAAAAGGATAATTTGCAAAGGATCAGTTAACAGTGTAAACAAAAAATTGAAAAAAGCTCTACTGAAGCTTGGCTCTGTCAACCCTGAGCCCTGACACTAGGCAATCAAGGGAGAAGTATTTACACCAACTTGTCTTCCCCCATACATTGTAAAAGAAAATCATGGTCAAATTACTAGTTCAAAACATATAGTAAAGCTATTTGAGCAGAGATTCGAGGTAACTGTATATACTTTAGTTGTTTAATAAATATTCCAGGGTAACTACAATGTGAAATGTGCCATATCGAAGATTTTTGTGATATAGTCTCTGTCACCTAAACGCTTGCTGCGTCACATATAAACTCGTTACAGAAAGATACTGGAGATGTGCAATTACTGAATAGGTTTGATAACTGTGCGACTTTTTCGTTCTATTCATAGTCTGGGAATTAGGTGTCATGAGCTTGTAAGGTTGTCCTAAGGGTTGCCAGAGAGGCTGGTGAAGAAATGAGATACCTTTTTCTTTCTGTATTTGATGCACCACTTTTGTAACCTTGCACTTCTTTCCAACCGATCCTCCCTTTTCTCTTGTGGGATATCATAATTAATAAGAGGGCAGAGTCAGGGGGAGATCGTAACACTTGCAGTTACTTTGAAAATCCTCCTCTTTCACAAAATGTTTCAAGAATGGCTTTAACCCTCCAGCTCCACCTAACTCCTACTCATCCTTTCATGAAAGGACCTCTGACTTTCTGACCTCTATTTACCCCAGGAAATGTCATCTCTTTCACAGCATTGTATTTTTATCTTTATTAATGAGCCTCCACATGGTACTGTACTACAACCACTGTGTAATCTTATCTCTCATACTAAATTGCAAATTCTTTGAGAGCAAGAACCATGTCTCTTCATCCTGTACTCCCCATAATGACCAGCACAGACTTAAGTGCTCAACCCCACTGTAGCTTAATTGTACACAAATACAAGCTTTTGAGTCCTGACCCCTACCTCCTCACCCCCTAGCCAGGATAGAACAGTCTACTCCACTTGACCTGATATTTTAATCTTTCTACAATGTGTACGTCCTCTATCTATCTCTTTAATGTGGCCTATTTCCCTACATGAAACTGCTACTTAGGCAAACTGGTCCATTTACCGCCCCCCAGCTACGCCACACGTTCCCACACCTCCATGCCTTGCTCATGGAGCTCCTCCAATCTGAAAAGATCTCTTGTCATCTTTGCTTATCTAAGCCCTACCTTTTCTCCAAGGCTTAATACAAATCCTAGTCTCTGCATGAAGCATTTCTTAATTACGCTTAAAGTCCAGAGTAGTCTCTCTTCTCTGAATTCCAATAGCGTTTATTAACTATACTATTCATTAGATATTTTGTATTGTATATCTCATATTGTTATTTCTCTTTTCTACCTATGTCTCATTTCCTCTACTCCTTGAGGACAGTGGATGTTGCACAAAAGTACTCAATAAATTATTTACTGTTGACACTGATACAGAAATCATGACCATTACATTCTCAGATGACACCATAATAAGAGGTTGCCTCTCCCTTGCATAATAAAATATGAATTTAAATTACCGTAAATGGAATAAATGATCAAAAATAAACATATTAAAAATGCTAGATGATTGTTTGTCTGGGCATAACTGAAAACAACCTGAGTTATAACAGAAACTGATCATTTTGTTACTGTATTTTTTAAAAAGCAAACTTGATAGTTTAACAAGGGGTCAAAATCTTACTGCAAATACCAATGTACAGTTCTGTGCTCCCATAACTTAAGAAGGATGTGGAAAATGTGGAGAGAACTTAAGGAGAGCAAAAAAGATAACCAAAGAACTGAAAAATAAACTAAGAAGGAATAAAAACAATCGAGGTTATTTAAGTTGAGGAAATTCTGAGAGGTGACTCAATAGTAAACACTATATAGAAGATGTGAGCTATCTGTTCACTTTCTATATATACAAAAAAAAAAAAGACACTACAGAAAGTGATTTAGATATTAGGAAGACATTTCTGACAGTAAGAGTAATAACAAAATGTCCTGATTTTTAAAAACGAGAATCTATCATATAAACTATTTGCCAGGTTGCTTGTCTTCTATTAGTGGCAAAATTTTAGAATGGATTATTTTCAAATTAATTTTTTATTGACCTTTTTTTAAAATTACACTTTGTTTTTTATATCACACTTATTTCCTACCTGAAGGTCTTTTGTGTTTTCCCTGTAAACAAGATGGAGAGGTGAAAGTGAGACAAAAAGTATGTTGGTAAGTTCAGAGCTGACTGAATGACCAGATTAAAAACAATAGAGATGAATGGGTGAAATGGGAAGTCTGTAAAAAAGCATCCTTGCCTCTGAACTAATCAACTTTTTCAAAATCAATGGTTTAGATAAGCATTAATGATGTATTTATCAAATATGCATAGCACATAAAATAAGGAGGTATAATTAATAAATTGTACGACAGAATAAGAATCCAAAATATTAAGAGCATAGAACATAGGGCTGAATCTGATGAAACTGAAGAGAAATAAATGTAAATTTCTTTAAATAGTTGAGTTCAAACAAATCATGTTAAAAATATCTGAGAATTTCAGTAAACTTCAAGCTCAGTATGACTCAAAAGTATAACATGGCAGCCAAAAATGCTAAAGCAATGTGATAATGCATTAAGAAAGGCATCATGTCCATAATAAGGGTGGTGATACTCTCATTCTTTGCTGCCCTGATCAGACCACAAGTGAAGTACTGTGTTTAGTTGTAGGCACCCCATTTTAGGAATAGTTTTATGAATTGGAGAGCCTCCGAAAGAGGAGAACCAGGATGGTGAAGGAGACCATGCTGCATGAGTACTGGGTGAAGGCACTGCAGATCTTTATCATGGAGAACAAAAGTCTTAAGGAGAAGAAAATCAGAGAAGAAAAGATTTAAGAAAAGTCTTAATGACAGTTTTCAAATAGTTGAAGATGAACTAAAATTGCTTTAGTTGGCTTTCGAAGGCACAGAGGAGAAAAGGGTGAAAGCAGCAGAGAGGAAGATTTGAGCTTAATATAAAGAAATTTTTCCTTAAAATTAGGGCTACTTGAAAGCATGATGGGCTGTCACTGGAAGTAATGAATTTCTCTTTTTCACAGATCTTCTAAGGAAGGATGGATGACTACTCAGTGGAGATATTGTATTAACGATTCTTGAAGTCCATTCCTAGTCTCAAGTTCCACGAAATGGGTTATTAAAGAACGTTATTGTGCTTTCTTTTTAGCAACTGTTTAAAGACAGGGCAGACTCTCATTTGTCTATGAGAGCTTAAGAGAAAAGGATATACTGTTTACATCCCCTAACCTAAGTTCCATGAAGGCAGGCACTGCTTTCCATTTTTGTCTTTCCACCTCAAGAAGCTAGGCATATTCTTGCCCTTGGTAGGTACTTATTGTTTGGTGAAATTAATTCTTACCTTGTGACAAGTTAAACAATGGGTTTCCCCCTATTAGGGTGCTATTAGCTTCTTGGAAATGTATTTTTATTTTCTCGCTAGACAAATGTTAGAAAAATGTAATATTCTTCGAATATATACAATGCTCCTCATTTTTTTCAGTATTCATGGCAGAAGCAGTTAATCCCATGACTAATTAATACCAGATCTAGGAGGAAAATGATTTGTGCCAAACTTTTTTTTTCTATTAAAGTTTGCATTTCTCATTGCACTGTTATATGAATGATTTTATAAATACAGCATGTAACTGCCTGTTGGGGGCCTCAATATGAGAGTATTAACAAGACAACAAAAGAAAATTAGTTTCAAATGATTAAATAGTTTTTGAATGTGATGAGAAAAGCAGATAATGCTTTCCTACCTTATGGCTTCTTCCACAGATTGACCAACTATGTTAGATGAAGGGCCTGGCTGAGACAGTGGTGTCAGACTAATTACCCACTTCACTGGTTTATAATATTCATCACTGGAACTTAATAAGTAAAACAGTGTGGTCAAGAAAATCACCTGTAAATCAAATCAGAGTTTATGAAGACGCTATGAAAATAATAACATGAAAATAAACACACTACCTAAGAGAGTCAGGAAATGTCTATGATGTAATAGCCATTTAAAATTATATGCTTCAAAAGATTTTTGAACCATTCTAATGAACTCCTTCATCCTTTCTTTCAGAGCTATTGAAGAAAAAAAATACAAAGTGCTTTCCAAATCTCAAATTTTATGATTCTGTGAAATTAAGACAATTATGGACATCATATCACACACCCATCAAATTGGCAAAGATGGAAATTGTTGATTTTGGAGGGGCTGTAGAAGAGAGGCACAATAACACATTGTTGCTGAAGCTGGTCTAATTACTCTAAAACACTATTTAGAATCATATAAGGAAAGTTACTAAACTCTTTCTATTGTTTGATCAAGTGATTCCACTACTAGGTATTACTTCCCAAGGTCAATCAAAAAAGAAAAGGTCTCACATATCTCAAATATTCACAGCAGTACTTCTTGTAGTGACAAAAAACTGGAAACAAAGTGGTATGTCTACTGATTAGCGAATGGCTGAAATGGTGGTATATGAATCATGAATGTAACAGGGGATAATTGTGCCTTAAAAAACACTAAGTATGAGGAACTTAGAGACACATTGGGAAGACCTACATAAACGATGCAGAATGAAGAAAGTAGAACCAAGAGCACATACGCAATCCCTTAAATAATACACATGAAGACAACAGTAAAGGATGACAGACTTCAGATCAAATAGTATAACCAAAATTTTAAAATATTTTTAATTGATGCCTTTTGTCTTTATATCATGGTCATTTTGGGAAACTACTCTCCCTTCACCATTCAATAAAACAAAAAAACAAAAAAAGAGAGAGAGAAAGGAAGGCAGAGGAAACTCTTTTTGTTGAGGCAATTTCATGGGTAGGCCCTAAACCCTGACTGACCAATTTTCAGATCGAGGCTTATAAACTACCCCAGCTATGGATCTTTTTTATTCTGGCTCTGATGTCACTCAAATAGGACATTTCTGAGTATTCTCAAGTAAGATGGCCCTACCCACTTGGAATTTTTCAAATACTCTACTTTTCTCTGACTCCTGGGGATATTAACTAGACCACTGTGTTGTTCCATGGTTTAGACTAGCAGCAAGCTTTCCTAATTTGGCCAGCAACTGTCACCAGCAGCTGCCCACTCATGCCTTTGTCTCCATGACCCCACACCAGACCCTGCAACACTGCCCTACCTACATAGTAGAGACAGGAGTATCCAGGTGCCAGAGTAATTTTCCTTCCCTTAGTCTGTACATTCAAGGACTTTGTTTTGCTGTACTTGCTACTACTAACCATACACTCTTTAAATTCTTTCTTCCCTAGGTTCCTATGACACTAGTGGAAAGAAAACTAGCCCTAGAGTCAGAACATGGAGGTTCAAGACTGAACTCTGATACTTACTAGGTATAGACTTTAGGCAAGTCCCTTAGCCTCTCTAAGCACCAGTTCCTCCATCTGCAAAATAGGAATAATAATTATACTACCTACTTCACACAAGTGTTGTGAGGAAAGTGCCTGGTAAACCTTACCTTTGTCTTCTAAAACTCCTAATTTGGGCCTCTCATTTGGACAAAAGTCTCCTAACAGCACTCCCTTCCAGCCAGCCTCTAGTCCTTCTCTCTCCTCTACAATACCACTGCCAGATTGATCCACTCCTGCTACTCCCTTGCCTCAAAACCCCAGTACCCAAAGAATGTGCTATTTACTTCCTGTGTGATGCTGGGCAAGTTTAATCCACTTCCCTTGACTGGAACTCCCTTGACTGGCTTTAGTTCCTTACCCGTAAAACGAGAGGTTTGGACTCTCTGGTCTCTAAGACCCCTCCTGGCTCTAAAGCTATGACCCTATAACACTCTTCAGCCTGACATCCAACGTTCTCTACAATATGGCTCTAGTTTTATTTCCTACTACTCCTTTAAAGTCTCAGCCAACCTGCCCTACTCATTATTCTCTGAATAAATCCTGTGCTGTCCAGCCTTTACTGATATTGTTCCTTCATTCTGTCAAAATCCTAAGCATTCTTGAATCCCAGCTCCAAACTGACCTTTCTTCACAAAGCCTTTCCTGAACCGGAAGGGATTTCTTCTCTCTTTGAAGCTGTAAATGATGTTACTTTGTAGATCTTCCATGACACTCATTATGATCTGCTTTGTATTATGCCTTTATTTGTCTATTTATTTTATTCTTAATAGATTATATAAGCTTTGAGGGAAAGGGCTCTGTATCCCTCACAACACTAGGTTATCTCTGTACTCAGCAAGTACTCAATGAATATTTACTAAATCAAGTCGCTGTTTGAGAGGTATAGTGGTAACCTCACTTGACTTAAGAGCTTAAAGTCCTGGACCATAGTCGCAAAAAGTTCTGACCCTTTTTAGCTCTATGATGATGGGCAGATAATGCAGACTTTCTGAGCCTTTTTCCCCATTTGTAAATTGATGATATTAATATCTGTACAATCCAACAAAGCCATAATGCAGAAAGTTCCTTGTAAACTATATAGGGGCATGTAAATGGGGGTTATGATAATGATAAGTTTCACTAATTAGTTCTATAGCATTTTTTTAAAAATTCAGATATTTCTAAATATTTGGATAATATCCTGAAAAATTATAGCAGATAATAGATTTTTTTTAAAGGCAATTGGGGTTAAGTGACTTGCCCAGGGTCACACAGCTAGTAAGTGTCAAGTGTTTGGTCTGAGGCCGCATTTGAACTCAGGTACTCCTGACTTCAGGGCTGGTGCTCTATCCACTACACCACCTAGCTGCCCCCCCGATAACAGATTTCAAAAGAAATTCTGAATGTCAAACCTTTGGTTAAATCTGCACTTTAATATTTCATACTAAAATTGAAATTAAACTTGATGGCCTCTTCCTTTTCAGATTTCAGTGAGGTGAAGAAGTAGAGAAAATGAAAAGAAAGTATCTTCTAAAAAATAAACAGATGTGTCTGGAAAGAAAAAGAAGGCTCATAAGAAAAACAGTGTAGACTGAAAAGGAGGCATTGGGAACGTACATACCAAAGATAGTACAAAATTGAGGAGGGCTGTCCCACTATAGAAAAGAATAGTCAGTAATGTTGTAACTGTGGTAAAAAGCAGGCTCACGTTGCGACTCATCACTATCCACAGAGATTCCAGGATCTAGAAAGAAGAGAATCAAACGTCTGAATTCGGTCAACAAGTTAATTAGTTAAGCATTTACCATGTACCAGGCACTGCGGATACACACAGAGTGCATGCATACACACATATGTGTATACATACATACATACATAGTAGAGCAAGGTAATCTGAGAGGGGAAGGCATTTACCAGCATGTTTTCATTGCTTTTAGCATAGCCTGCCAAATAATGTACAGAAAAAAGCAACATATAAGGAATGCTGTCAATCAAGAGCTTCATACCATGCAGAAATTAGCGCCCAAAAACCACTTTTAAATCATAATTTCAAGATCATCCTTAATTTATTAACCCCAGAGTTAAACAGAAATTAACCAATAAGGAGAAATCATTCTTTCAGAGAAATTTTAGCAAATAGGTAAACCCTTTATAAAATCAATTCATTACCATGTGAATCAGTATGTTTATTTATGTCACAAAGGCATTATCATACACAAAGAAGTGTATGCCATATATATACCAAAGCAAAAATGGGCAACAAGGTACAGCAGTGGATAGAGCTCTGGGCCTGGAGTCAGGAAGACCTGAGTTCAAATCTGGCCTCAGACACTTACTAGCTGTGTGACCCTGGGCAAGTCACTTACTACTGTTTGCTTCAACTTCCTCATCTGTAAGCAGGAGAAAGAAATGGCAAACCATTCCAGTATCTTTGCCAAGAAAACTCCAGATGGGGTCATGAAGAGTCAGGCATGACTGAAACAACCGAACACTGACAACAACCAAAGCAATAAAACGTCCTACAGGAACCAATATCACTACTTGCTGGCATTAATGGTCAGAAGGAAATTAAAAATTAAAACTTAAAAACAAATCTCTGGATATCAGCTTCCCAGAATCAGGATCTTGGTTTTGAGTATTCACCACCTAAAATTTAAAATGTGTTAAAGAACAATATTAAATACCATCAGCACTCTCTCTGCTACAACCAGAACAATTGAAAGAGCACAAAAAAGGGAGAGCTTATGATAAAAAATGAAAGCACTGAACAAGGGAAATGAATACTCTTCGATTGGTTTATTAAAGAGATTTCTAGAACCTACTGGCAGGTAACCTGTAGGTTGCAACATTCCAGAGTGACTTGTTCCAACAGATTTTCATTGGTTTCATAATAGCCTGGACCAAACAATATACAGAAAGAACAGTATATAAGGAATACTGCCTTAAAAGGACACAAAGCCAGGCTCAAGAGTTTAACACCATGGGCGGAGCCAAGATGGCAGAGGGAAAGCAGTGACTTGCTTGTGCTCTCCCTCAAAACCCTCCAAATACCTATAAAAAATGGCTCTAAACAAATTCTAAAGCAGCAGAACCCACAAAAAAAACAGAGTAAAACAAATTTCCAGCCCAAGACAACCTGGATGGCTGACTGGAAAGGTATACAGCACCGGCCGGGAAGAGGAGCGCAGTTCAGCATGGGCATGCAGGCTGCAGCAAACCTGGAGCAGGCCTCAGAGGACTGAATTGTGGGCAGCTGTGGCAGTTTCCAGACTTCTCAACCCACGAACGCCAAAGACAACTTAGAAGGTCAGTGGGAAAAGTCTGCGACTGCAGTGAGAGAAGAAGCTAGGTCTCAGCTGCCCGCAGGGCAGCGGCTGCCTCCTGAGCTTCCGAACCACAGACTGAGGGGGAATCAAGAGGCTGATCAGAGAGGGATTTCAGGGATCTCTTTGCCAGGGCTGAGGCAGGAATCTCTTGTTTTGCCCGTGCTTGGATCTGGGTCACAGTTCTGAGGGGCGGTCCTGGGGTGAGAAGTGGTTGGAGCTTGTTGTGGTGGTGGACAGGAAACACCTCACCCCTTATCATACCACCTTGGAAGAACTCAAAATTTTCAGGTCCCTAGAAGTATCTCTGAAAACAGCTGTACAAACTCCCGAAGCTTGGAACAGTACATTCTCCACACTGGAAGCAGACTCTTACCTTAACAAAGAGTTTAAAACTCAAGTAATTAGTTGGGATCATGAGCAAGCAGCGCAAAAAGGGTCAGACTATATTATCTTACTTTGGTGACAAAGAAAATCAAAACATACAACCAGAAGCAGCAAACAAAGTCAAAGCTCCTACATTCAAAGCCTCCAAGAAAAATATGAATCAGTCCCAGGCCTTAGAAGAGCTTAAAAGGGATTTTGAGAAGCAAGTAAGAGAAATAGAGGAAAAACTGGGAAGAGAAATGAGAGTGATGCAAGAAAATCATGAAAAGCATAGCTTGCTAAAGGAGACTCAAAAAAATACTGAAGAAAATAACACCTTAAAAAAAAAGTTTCACAGCATGCAGATCAGTTTGTGGAATATCAAAGACTTGAAAGGTTTGAAAAATGTACAGGTGTTTTCCAAAGCTCCTAATGAGTAAAAGACTCCTAGAAGAAAAAAGATAAAACATTTGTTTCTTAACCTTGTCTACAACTACACCACTAAAAATTTTATACTGTATGACTTTATATAGAAACTATGTAAAATCTTAGATTTATCTTAAAATACTTATGCTTTTTACAGTGAAATTTCATATAGATGTTATTTATCTATAACTACATATATATATATATTTATCTGTATCTATATATATCTATATATCTCTATATATCTATGGCAAGTTATGACAGTGCCAAAAAGCATATGTGGTGAAAACAATGCTTCTGGGTCTTAGCCACATATCTGCGTAAAGAAAACAAGTCATGGCTACCAAACTGATCAAACTTATCAGTTGCAGGTAACATAATTAATCAATTTTAAAAGGTTAATGAAAGCATCCTTCTATCAAATAGCCAAAAAGACACAAAAAAGTGTTTTCTTCATATGAGAAAACCATACCATTCCAGAAATGTCTAAAATTTTTTCTGCTGTGTTATGTTTATATTGTTCAAAAGGGAAAGGTTCAGCTCTTTAAAGGATAATCTCTAAAAATAACTCAGATTGAAGAACTATTAGACACTGTGAGGCTGGCTGTAAAATGTTAAAATTGAATGCAGAGAGGACAAAAATCCTATTCTACAGAAGAGGGCTTCTTGATGGTGAGGGAACAGAGAGGTAAGATGAAAGATTTTTCTATTCAATTCAGAAAAACATCTGTCTAAGTAACTGTTACATGTAATGCAACTATGCCAGGTAATGATGATACAAAGATGAAAAAAAAGTTTTTGATCTCAAGAATTTTACAGTTTAGTAAGGGTATAAACACACAAAAGCTCTATCAAATTTAGAATGCCATTAAGTGCACAAGACAGGTTAAACAGAGATGGATGAGAGGTAGGGAAGGAGTCATTTTTAGTCACTGATAAACCATATTTGTTTTTGATGGTGAAGCATTTGACAATTCCAAGGACTCTGGTGGTAATAACCGTTTCTTCTGGATCTTCAGGAGCAGTGGTTGCTAAGAAGTTAGGGGTTGCAGCACCTAAAGTTATAAACACCACGCTGTATAGTCAAAAGGGTTATTCTTTTGTATAAAAGGCTTAACTTGAAGTGGGACTAAGAGGGGATAGGAGAGGAGAGGAGAACCTGTGGCCTCGAGGTCCTCAAGTGTGGCCTCGAGGCCACAGGTAGCAGTTGGCCAGCAGTGCGGATGCAGGGTTGTTTCCCTGAACAATGTTCTACAGGAGTCAGGCTAGAAACATGGAAGCCACTATTCCCTGGGCTCTTGGGCACAAGGTCCTGGGTTATCTCCCACCCAATGGGTCTGAGGGGAGGTGATGGCAAAGGTGACAGCAGTAGTATGATTTCTCTTTCCTTCGGGATACCTTGCAGCAGCCTTGCAGCAGGCCTGCAAAACATACGGCCTGTGGGCTGTAGGGTGAGCAGGCTTGTTTTACATCTTCTATATTTTTCTTGGGCCACCCAAAATCCTTTGGCAGGCTGCAAGCAGCCCATAGGCAATATGTTGTGCGTGCCTGCCTTAATGGAAAATCGCATAGTCAGTTTTGCTGAGGGATTTGCATAAAGCAGGCCTGCACAACATATCATCCATGGGTCACTTTGGCAGGCCACATGCTGTGCAGGCTCGCCTTAGAGCCAGAAAGACCTGGGTTCAAATTCTGCCTCTGACACATAATTGTCTATGCCACTGCTCTGGTCAATTCTCTGAGACTCCTACTCACTGGAAGCATTTGCTCTGTTCTGAAAACTCCAAATTTGGGGCTGATTTTAAGGAAAACTAAGTTAAAAAGTACAGCCTCAAGACTGTACTTGAGATTACTTTTTATTTTTTAATTTTTTTGTCAGTTGGGGTTAAGTGATTTGCCCAGAGTCACACAGCTAGTAAGTGTCAAATGTTTGGTCTGAGGCCGGATTTGAACTCAGGTCCTCCTGACTTTAGGGCTGGTGCTCTATCCACTGTACCACCTAGCTGCCCCTGAGATTACTTTTAAAAGACAAATTAACTTCTTTGTAAAATGTAGAGTTTTAAAGCTACCTCAAAAATAAATAGTCTCCTATTACTGGAACCTAATACAAACAGGTATATCCTTATATACTACAGGATGAAATCATGTCCTACATGGAGAGTGCTACAGTAATAAATTGAGTAGCATTTGAGCTACAGGAAAGGATAAGGAAAGGAAGTAAATATCTGTTGTATGTGGCTAACTGAAAGAGTGACTCAGGGGGCATAATACAGGATGTCCCAAAAGTCTTAATGGCTTTTGTCTTTCGTCTTTCAAGCTTTAATGTCTTAAAATTGCACTAAGACTTATGAGACACCCTGTAACAGTCCCCATTAACATAAGGATGTATGTGTATCTAAGGAGAGAGGGTGAGAAGTGTCTGGTTTAAACAATCTGTCTTAATAGACATCATAGATGACAATTAAAAAAAGGCAGGCCTTCCTTGGAAAATGATGGGTTTAGTTTTTTGTAAATATGAACTTCCTTGAGCAATATTCAGTTTGTTAGAAATAGTTTTCTTCCATATCAACAATGAATGCTGTTTCCATTTGCCTATGTCTGAGTAATAAATTCAACCAGTCCTTCTGGAAATCTCTAAAAACAGGACTTCAAAGGCACCTTGGTCTCTCCTCTTCTCCTTTCAATGAGAATTTAAACACTTTGGCAAGAGTCATTGTCTAGAACCAGCATAAATGAGAAACTGTATCCTTATGGGAATTATGTAACTATTAAGTATTAAGGAAATCAACCCAGCTAGGGCTTGATTCTTTTACCCACTGAGTGGCTTTGATTGACAATTTAATTACTTACTTTCTATAGGTACCTCAATTACTCTGTCTGTAAAATGCATATATTTGTCATATTGCTTGTTGACAAGAGAGTTTAACCCTAACTGTTGGATGTGAAGACAAAAATTATATTCAAAGAAAAAAGAAAGTGGCTTAGTTCCGCCTTTGGTATTATCTCTGCAACTAAGCGCAGGGCCACCAGATGGTGGTGGTGTTTTATTAGCGTACCATAACCAAGCCACAAGGTTATTTTTTCAGAATTGATAACTGAAAACTTCAAAGACAAACCTCAAGATCCAATATTTTCTATCAAAATGACATTGTTTTAAATTTAAAATACATATCAAAATATTTAAAAACAGTATGATTACAACAGAACTTTCTAAGAGACAAAGCCAACATCCTTAAGAGCAAGAATTAGAGGAACTGAAATTATACTTGGGTACTCTTGGAGTACTTAATTATAAACAACTGCAATTTAATTACATTTTACTTTTGCTCACACTGGAAAACTATGCCTTTTCTTTCTTAAATTGTTATAAACTTAACAAATACCAAATGAGTGTTTCCACATATGAAGTAGGGCAAATAATGAAGAGTGTACAAGGAATTTTGAATCTCTATTCTGTGCAGTTTGCTTTTTCTCTTTTAAGTATATAATAAATTCAATGTTTTATTTTCAAAACTGTCCTGCTTGTCTGCTTCCTTCTATATTTCCTTCTCTTTTTTGACAATAATGAGGAAGGTAAAAAACAAAAAACCCTTGTAACAATTATGAATAGTCAAGCAAAATAAATCCACATATTCATTATGTCTAAAGATGTGTCTTATTCTGCACCTTAAGACTGTCACTTCCCTGTAAGGGGGCTGGTTCATGCTTCATCGCTGGAGTCATGGTTGATCATTTCATTCATCAAATTTCTTAAGTGTTTCAAAGACTTGTTTCTCTACAATATTGTCATTACTGTATAAATTACTGTCCGGGTTCTGTTTACTTCATTTTTTATCAATTCACACAATTCTTTCCAGGTTTCTCTGAAAAAAGTCCTTTTCATCATTTCTTACAGGGTGATAACATTATATATCATAATTTGCTCAGTCATTCTCCAACAAATGGGTATCCCTTTAGCTTCCAGTTCTTTGCTATAACAAACAGAGCTACCATAAATAATTTTTGTACCTATGGATCTTTTCTCTCTTTGGAGTACTGGCCTAGCAGTGGTATTGCTGGTGTGTTCATCATTTTTATTAGAACTTATCTTCCTCTGTCCTAAACTATCTTTCCTTCCTGAAAGGTAAAATCCCTTCATGGTCCGCCTTGATGGAGGGTAGCATGGTAAGAGGAAAAGTGCTGCATCTCAAGTCCGAGGACCTAGTTGCAAATCTTGTTTCTGAATACATTTCTGAATACATTCCCAATGTGGAATCTGATTTGCTTGACTATGCATATTTGTTACAAGGGTTTTTTCCTTCCTCCTCACAATTTTTTGGGGTAAAGATGAATAAGAAGAGAACTGGGGACAGGGTTCACTCTAAAAAAGTTTTGTTCTAAAAAAGAACAAACAGAATCAAAGATATGCAGGACGGCTTTGAAAGTTATATGTTGCATTTATTATATAGCATTTATATAGCACTTTGAGACCTGCAAATATGTACTTACATAAAAACACAAGCAATCTATACTTAATAAATGTCTAGTTCCATATGCAATCCTCTTTTCCTGTTCTTCAGAAATACTAATTTTATTTGGTATTTGTAAAGTTGAGAATTTAAAAAAATGAAAAAGAAAAACAAATACAATTCCTATCTGATATTCACCAAATTTGTGACCTTGGGCAAATCACTTACCCTCCCTAGGTCTCAGTTTCCTTATCTGTAAAATGAGGAGATTAGATAAGGTGACCTAGGAGGCCTCTTCCAACTCTAGCTCTGTGATTTTATGATCTCTTATTTTGACCTTGAGGGTCAAAATAGACTAATGTTCTTCTCTTCCCTTTTTTTTCTTATGGTACATGACTGAGGATAAAGCTTAAAGAACAACATCATCATTATCATCATCATCCATCTACCTACCCACCCATGCCGAACTGATCTTTTTAGAAAAAATTTTAAAAGGTGCCATTCCTTTTTTTTTTTGAATGTCAAATAAATGACCAAATAAACAGAATTCAGAAACTTTAAGTAGTTTTGTACTGATGATTCATTTCATTACAGGGAGATGGGTCCCTGAGATGTATTTGATGAGCACTACTATTCCCTGAACTGATCACTAAAATGGGGTCATCACTGACCCTCTAAAAGAATAAACAATTAGACCTACAAAAAAATCTGATTGCTCTTCAAGTGTTTACCAGGTACATTCTGATCAGTTTAGAGACATTTCAGTGCTCCAAATCTCTAGGGAACAACTAGGTTGTTATAAAGAACAGTGCTATGATGCATATGCTAGGATGACTCATGACGTTTCTGGGATCAGCTCAGCCAGCTGAGAAAGTGACAAAGGAATTACTTCCACAGCTTTTAAAAATGTGTGCCTTAGCAATAAAGGCATGCCCTATCCGAGATCAAGTATAACACAATGAGTAAAAACCTCTGCAAACAGAAACAAGTCAAAGGGTAGTTTTTACACTTTTCATTTATATGTATATGTTAGTATAAACAAAATTACTTACAGAAAGAAATGTCTCGATGTTTTCATGAACAAAGGAAGCAATATCCTGCCAATCCAGAATATCTCCAAGCCAGCTATTCTGACGAGTTATAGTCATCTTGTGACCTTTGTGCCTTCCTGAATGTGTTATATTCTACAAAGTAGAACAGAATGTGAATATTAAATCAAGTGTTTAAAAAAAGTAATGGATTTGATTGCACATGTATAAACTGTATCAGATTTCTTACCGTCTCAGGGAGAGATGAGTGGAGGGAAGAATAGAATTTGGAACTCAAAACTTTAAAAAAAAATTTTTTTTAATTGTTTTAACATGTAATTGGGGAAAAATATAATGTTAAAGTTTTAAAAAAAATAATGGATTTTTAGAAGCATATTTAAAAGTACTTAAATGAGCATTTAGACATAAAAAGCTTTGAATTATTATAAGAAGTGAAATAAATAGCCTACCACCTAAAAGACCAAAGATCTATTATATTTTTGTATTTTAATTCTCTTCATGTTGTTTGGCACAGAAAAGTCCTGTTTTACTCATATCTTAGTTTAAGAATCAACTGTGTCTCCTGACACACAAGAAACCTATCAACATTAATTTTATTGCTTGTGACAAAATAAGGAGGTATACTGGATAAAGCACTGGGCCTGGAGTCAGGAAGACATACATTCAGATCTTGCCATAGGTGCTTTCTAGTTGTATCATCTGAGGTAAGTCATTGGGGATGATAATAGCAGCCACCTTGCAGGGCTACTGTGAGCATCAGAGGAGGGAACATGTGAAATCCTCCGCAAACTCAGAAGAGCTATATAAATGCTAGTTATTATTACTGCTTATGCTTAACAACCACATTTTCTTCCTTTGATACTTTTCTAGTTTCTCCATTTTTTCTTACTTTCTACATCTCTTCCCTTCTCCATTTATCTTCCAGGTTTCTCTCTATTCCTTTTGGATTCAAGGAAGACAGAGGAAAACAAGACTGCTGGGCTACATTTCTTTACCTTCTCAGTAGTCAAACCACTGAACTGCAAAGAATGGACAGACGGACAGAACAACTCATATTCCTCATATTTTGGGTTTAATATACCTATTTTTACCCAAGAATTGTCAGGCCAGAAGCAACTATCTTAATACGGGTCATATAGAATGATATGGATTTTAGGTCCTCAGCATCACCATATGGAAGAAATGCTGCAGATGGCAGTTGCAGAGAGGTTTACTAGAGAAGTAAGGCCAAGAAGTCAAGGCCTAGAGGTGATAGAGTCAGGGAGAGAAGATGGTTATTCCTGTACCTGTGAAAAGATTAGCTACTTTCTCAGCCTCCATTATCCTCCATATTTTCCTGAAAGCCAGGATTCTAGGAGCTAGGCATGGTAATCAAGACCTATTAAGGCAGGAAGAAAGAAGTAATAGTCCTAAATCGGGAGGATGTGAACATGTGTATTTGCAAAATTTACAAATTTGAGTTCATGTGTATACACACACATGAAGACACACATATAGATAGAGATTATATTTCTGTTGTTTACTGAATTAAGTATAAGTTGATACTGGAATTTAAGGCCTTCCACAATTGGATTCAACCCTTCTATCCACTATTATTTCATACTCCTTCCCCTACAACAAATTTTACATTCTAGTCACATTGGACTGTTTTACCTTTTTTCATCTTGTTCTCTGTTTCTCTACCTTTCTTCATTCCACTCCCTATATCTGGAATTAACTACTCCTATCTGTTGAAGAGCATTCCTCCTTCAAGGCACCCACGTCAGATGCCAATTCCTCCAAAAATATGAAGCCTTCTGCAACAAAGCAGAAATGATTCCATCCCCTCACATTTCTCAAAGCATGCTGTCTATACTTCTCCTTTGAAATCATTACACTCTGAATCACAGTTGTTTGAATACTTGTTGAATTGAAGGCAAATTGCAACTACCAATTTTTACTTTGGGTGATCACATGCAAAGAAATTAGTAAAAGGCTGGGTTGGCAGGCATGAGGAATTTAAGAGATGTGTGACTAACTGAAAAGACAGGGCAACATAAAGGAAGGCAATGGGAATACCCATTTGTAGGGTGCCTACTATGTGCCAGGCACTTTGCTAAGCACTTCTCATACATCTCATTTAACCCTCACAAAAATCTTGTGAGTTAGGTACTGTTATTATCCCCATTTTACAGTTGAGGAAATTTAGGTGAAGAGAAGGCAAGTGACTTGTCCAGCATCACACAGCTAATAAGTTAAGTGCCTGAGGCTGGCTATGAACTTACATCTATCTCCCTGACTCCAGGCCTAGCACTCCATCCACTGCACCTCTTACGTGCCTCCAAAAAAAGATGAGAAGAAATTTACTCTGGCTAGAAGAAACCAAGATAACACCTAAAAGAAGTCCAGAGAATGACTACCATTAAAACCTACAATATTTACTGGCATAATTTCTGTCTTCGAATAACTTCTGACTATGTAAATTCCAATTCGGATGATGTAAAATGATTTCTCTGTCATTCACAATAAAGGTTAAAGATTTTAACTTTCTCTGTTCCTTACATACATCACTAGCTTTCCCTCACACTGAAAAATCCTTGTCTTGATTTTATTATCCTATAGAGTTCTTCTCTTTAACATCTAAACTCCTAGAACTGAAAGTGGTCTCTTCAAAGGTACTAGTGATCTCTCACTCACCAAATCACAATGCTTTTTGTCAATCCTCACTCTTCCTGACCCTGCCGGCCACTTTCTCTTCTCTGGGCTTTTAGGATATTGCTCTGCTCTTGATTCTTCTCTCTGACTGACCACCCCTTACTCTCTTTCTGGATCATCCTCCACTGCTCCTATGCCAAAGCTCTGTCCTGGGCATACTTCTGTTCTTTGTTCATATTCTCTTGGTTATCTCATCAGCTGCCATGAGTTTAGTTAGTATTTATATGCAAATGGCTTCCAGATCTATATATTCAGCCCTAGTCTCTCTTCTGAATTTTAGTTCCATATCTTCAACAAGCTTACTGGGTATTTCTAACTGGATTTCCTGTGTCCATCAGAATCCTGATGTCTACAAAACAAAACTCACAACCTTTTTTCCAAGGCCTACCTGTCTTCCAAACTTCCAAATATCAGTTAGAGGTACCACCAATCTTCCAGTCACCTAGGATTCCAACTTTGGGGTCATCATTGATTCCTCACTCTCTCTCTCACACCACCTATCTTATCAGGTGCCAAATCTTGTTGATTCTTCCTCCACAAGTATCTCACATCTGTCCTCATTTTTTCACTAAAATGACCACTCTAGTCCAGGCTCTCATCCCTTCTCAGGTAACTGTAACAGTTCTCATTGGAGCTCCTGCCCCAAGTCTTTCCCATCTCCAATTTCTCTTCCTCACAACGATCAAAGTGAATTTCTTAAAGCACAGGTCTGACCATGTCACATTCCAGCTCAATAAATTTCAATGGCTCCTTACTCTCTCTAGGGCCAAACTGGCCTTGTGTCTGTTCCCCACACATGATATGCGTCTCCCATTTCTGTGCTTTTGTGGTGCTGGTCTCTAGAGCCTAGAATGCACTCCCTCTTCACACCCACCTTGTGGAATCCTCAGTTTCCTTCAAAGCTCAGCTCATGTGAAAGCTTCTTCAGGATGCCCGTCCTGGTCTCCCCAGCTGCTAGTGTCTTCCTCCCCAGCATTACCTTGAGAATATTTATATATACTTATATATGAACATGTTGTTTCCTTCACTGCTCTCCTTGAGGGCAGGAATAGTTTCATTTTTGTCTTTCTATTTGTCTTTCTATTCCCAGCCTCTAGCTTAGTGCCTGGCAAATAGTTTGATGCTTAATAAATGCTCTCTGATTGATTGTTTAATCTGAAGTTCCAGTGAAGGAGGTAAAGCAAACAGTGAGAATACAGGCATATGTTATCCTGGTAAAGAGAAACAAAAGGGGCATTATAAAAATACCTATATAAAAAGTACTTGCAAATAAACATTCCTATTCTTCTCATTCCATATTTGTTTGGAAGAAAAAGCAGCAATAATGGCTTTATTAACTTCCTAGCCCATCAGTACATGAGATAAAAAGTATAACTTTCTACCCATGAGATCCCAGTTTCTCACCTTAGAGTTAGCTGGACCTAATATCAGCACCTCACTACTGCTCTCCAAACCCACTCTAGATAAATTGTCATTAAATCATAGCCAGGTCACTAAGACAAACAATGGCTTTCATTTACTGCTTCCTCTCTATCAACTTGATGAATTTACAAAAGCAGAGCTTCTGCTATCTCTACATAAGCACTAGGGAAAACTACTCCCTCTTCCATTCTGTGGTTCGTCCATAGCTCATAATTCCTGCTAAGTTCGCAGTAATTTGAGACCTTATACTCAACAAATGAAAATAACTTATTAATTAAACCAGTATCCCCCTATGTTAGCAGATTTTACAAAATAATTTACAGCTATCATAGAATCTTAAAGGTCAGAAGGTATCTTAGAGATCATCTAATCCAAATGCTATCTGAAGAATGAATACCCTCTACAACATCCCTGGCAAATGATCATACTGACTTGTTTGGAATGCTTCCAGGGATGTGGAACTCATAATTTTTTAGGTAGCATTTTTCATTTTTGGATCACTCTATTAGGATTTTTTTCCTTATAATGAGGTGAAATCTACCTTCCTAAAAATTCCATATCTTTGTAAGTTACACATTACTTACCTTTACAAACCAAGAGTGATACAGTCTGTCCCAGAGTTCTAGTACTTGCTTTTCAATCACAGCAGTATTGTTCACTTTATCTCCCAAAATCTTACGAAGCTACAATAGACACAAAGACAGGTTTAGTATTATAGAAAACAATGACATGAAAACAAAATTTATTGGCATTTGTTTACATGTTCCAAATAAACTTTGGCATCCCAGATTTTTTAAAAACCATATAAACAGTAAAAATTAACATCCCACAGTTCAAAACTCCAATGCAACACTTGTCTTTCCTTCTTTATTCTTCTGCTTATCCTTCTTTATTACTTCTGCTTGCTTAGTCAGCTTTATTTTAATGAATAAATGAAACATACTGCTAAAACAGTTAAGAGTAAGGAATCACAATGGACAATTAACTTTGCATAGAAAAATCCTGCTCCCATGGTGTGTTGGTGTTTGTCATCTGCAGTCATTCTAAGTGACCACATTATTACATAATCATGATTATTATTGTTAGAGTTTAAAAGTAATTCCTATGTAAGTTTTTGTAAACTTACTTCAAGAGTAATATTTTCAATGGCATTATAGACATAGGTGCTTGGATATCTGCATCTGAGCTGTCTGACTGTTTCTAACACAAAATAATTCTTCTTTGTGAACAAAAGCTAAAGTATTTGTATTAACAAATTTAATTTAATAAATGTTAATCAACAAATGAAATTAAGAACTATTTAGTGGAACAATTATATAAAATGTCAAAACTATCTTCTATTAACTCAGCCAGTTATTTCATTTATCTTTTGGCCTTGTTTTTTACGAAAAAAAAAAAAATGGTTTTTGTTATTCTGTACATCCCAAACACCAAACATGAGCATTTCCATATAAAGAAAAAAGAAAAAAATTGTTCATAAAACAACAAATCTATTAAATATAGCTTGTATTTTTAAAAGGACATTTTAAATTCAACATGTTCAACTAGTTATTTTAAAGATCACTTTTACTTTAATTATAATTTCATATTTAATCTTGTTAGATTTGGCTTATACAGGTTTCTTCCTGATTTGGAAGTTGCCCATGCCATCTAACATAGAAGTTTCTGTTTTTTTATGATTCAGAAATTTGATGACCAAGCCCTCTATATTGTAATCCAAATCACTTCAAAATACTGAAGACCTCCCTTTAGTTGCACAATAATTGATTATTCCGTATTTTGGGACAAAACTGCTCAACCTATTACAAATCTAAACAGTTTTACTTATAATTTGGCACTAGTCCATGACAAATTTTTTGCTGATTCACAAAAATTTTAATATCTAATCTTTATCTCTTAACACTTATAAATTTAAAAAACAAAACAAAAATAATTCTTCCTCCCTATATCCTGCTTTTTCTTTCTCCAGTATAACTGAGAATTATGAGACTGAGATGAAGTAGTTCACAGTTTAAAGGAAAAAAAATTCTTCAGTGTAGTTGGGAATACTGATCTAGTCTTTATTTTTCCATTCTGTCCACAAAGAAACTCTGACAAGGAATGTCAAGCATCTTGCTGAAATCCATATGTAAAACAATAACCAGTGCCTCTTTTCCACGTTATGTCCACTAATATTAGCTAAAGACTGGAGTCCAGAGAAGACATCTAAGAACAAACCATACTGAGTACCAATTCTCACCTCAAGCAACTGAAGTATTAGTCCAATTAGCCTGACTCTCACTAGGCCCATTATAATACGCATGAATACAAGTGGGGTCCTAAAAGGAATCCTACTCACCAGAGCACTCAGAAGAAAAGACGTGTTTTTCCTAGACCAGTTACAGCTACATCTAACCAAGTATAAACGCACTTGCAAACCCCAGAAGTCCAGGAATGATTGGCCATATATATTATTTAACAATGATAACTATTATTTATTATTATGATTACTATTAAAGATAGTAATAACAAGAAGAAAGGTAATGAACATTTATTAAGTGCCTCCTATGTGTTAGGTACTTTATAAATATTATTTCATTTGATCTTCACAACAATCTTGGGAGGAAGGTGTTATTATGATCCCCATTTTACAGCTGAGGAAACTGAGGCAGATGGAGGATAAATGACTTGCCAAGAGTCGCACAACTAGTAGTAATCCTAGTAGTAAAATGGTAGTTATACGCTACTACTTCAGTTTTTAAAAAAATTCATCCCTGTGGGTCTTTTGTGTTTAGCATTTCTTTTGTGTGGTTCATACTTTTTTTTTAAAGTCCAGTGGCATAATTTGTCTTACATCTCCACATTGTACATTATGTACCTCATTTCTTTCTTTTGGGGAGATCCCTGACATAAGCCAGATGTAAACTTCAAGTCATTTTCTCAATGGGTACAGGGTGAGGGCATAAAGAGCCAGGGACAGTGACTGTCTAACTTTCTCTCTGAATTCCTGGATCCCCCAATACTAAATCTAGACCACAAGCATGGGCCAATGGTCAGATGCGCCTCAGAGGTAGAGCTGGGCACCCTAGCATCCCTTGGCCCAGCAACAGTTCAGTGCTGTTACATTTGGAGGATGTTTCTACTTGCCTGGGATTAAAAGTCTCCTTTCTTTCAAGGCCTATCATTAATATCTCTGGACATTTCTATTCCTCTTCCCCCTCTTATCCATAGGGAGAGGTGTGAGCTGCTGCTGCCATTATAGAAAGACGCAGTTAGGAAAGAGCTGGGGTTGTAGTTGGCAGCCAGGGAGTTAGAGGTCCTGCTGCTGCCATCCCCGTCAGTTCTTTCTACTCCACCTTTTCAGCTGCTCTGCCTGTCTTCTCGTGAGTCCTCCAGTCGGATACCATGACCCTGTTCAAGAGCTACCCAATACCTACCCCTTACTTCCCACTCCATGTGGACTCACAGCTGCCATGGGCTGAGGGGAAAACCCCTTTCCTCACATTCTCATTCATCTCCACCCAGCTCAGCCCTGCCTCTCCTCAGTCCACTTTCTTCTGCCACACCATTCCAGCCAGTTTGCTGGCACCTACAATGTACCAGGCACTAGCAATACAAAGAAAGGCAAAAACAGTGACTGCCCTCAGAGTTCTGTCTAATGAAGGAGAAAACATGGTAACAACTCTGTACAAAGATATATACAGGATATGTTGAGGGTAGTCTCAGAGGGAAGGTCCTTAACAGGGCTAAGATGAAAGAGGCCTGGGAAAGGACCCTTGCAGAAAGTGGAACTTTAGCTGAGAAGGAAGCCAGGAGGCAGAGATGGGGAGGGAGAGAGCTCCAGGCAAAGGAAGCAGCCAGGAAAATGCTTTGAGTCGGGAGATGGAGTGTCTAGTATGTGGAAGGGCAGGAAGTCTAGGGTCACTGCACTGCAGGGAATGTGGATTAGGGATAAGGTATAAGAAAACTGGTAGGGTCGGAAGAGGTGAGGTAATAAAGGGACTTACAAGCCAAACAGAGATTTTATATTTGACTGTGGAGGTAAAAGGGAACCATAGGATTTTACTGAATAGGCAGATGACAGGGTCATTCCTTTTTTTTTTGGTTTGTTTTTTGGTGAGGCAATCGGGGTTAAGTGACTTGCCCAGGGCCACACAGTTAGTAAGGGTCAAGTGTCTGAGGTCACATTTGAACTCAGGTCCTCCTGACTCCAAGGCCAGAATTTTATCTACTGCACCACCTAGCTGCCCCAACAGGGTCATTCCTTTATTTTAAGAAGCCCTATTTGACAGCAAAGCAGAGGATGGCTTAAAATGAGGAGAGACTTGAGACAGGAAGACCAAGCAACAGGCTATCGTAATAGGCAAGGTGTGAGGCAATGAGGGCCTGCACTAGGCTGGCTACAGTATTAGAAAAGGGGCATATAGAAAAAATGTCCTGTAGGCAGAAATAACAGGACTTAACAAAAGACTGAGTATTAAGGGTAAGGATGACGCCTAGCTTGTGAGTCAGGGTGACTGGAAAGATGATGGCATCCTGGACAATAATGGGGAAGCTGGGAAGAGGTTTTGAGGGCAAGATAACGAGTTCAGTTTCGGACATGCTGAATTTAAGATGTCCATGGGTCACCCTACTAGAGATGTCTAGCAGGCAGCTGGAGATGCTAGGCTGTAAGTTAGGAGAGAGGTACGTGCTGAGATCTGAGTAGATATGAGAGTTATCTGCATAGAGAAGATAACTGAAACCATGGAAGCTGATGGGATCACCAGGTTAAACAGTATAGAGAAAAAACAGAAGAGAGTGAAGGGCAGAGTGCTTTAAGCCCTCTGGAAATCCTGCTCTACTGCTAAATTTCCCTTTATCCTAGGTTGCTAGACACAGCAGATAGGGAAAGGGACTTGGCATCAGGAAGACCTGAATTCAAATCTTGCCTAGATGCTTACTTCCTATGTGACCATGAGCAAGTCACTAAATCTCTTAGTCTCAGTTTCTTCATCTGTAAAAAAAAAAAAAGGGGGATAATATTAATAATATTAGCATCTATTTGACAAGGTTGTTGTAAGGATCAAATAAGAAAACATGTAAAGCACTTCCTAAACTTCAAGCATCATACAAATGTTAGTGATTCTTTCTTTCTTTCCTTTTTTTTTTTTTTGCGAGGCAATCAGGGTTAAGTGACTTGCCCAGGGTCACACAGTTGGTGAGTATCATGTGACTGAAGCTGCATTTGAACTCAGGTCTTCCTGACTCCAGGGCTGGTTCTCTATCCACTGCGTCACCAGCTGCCCCACTAGTGATTATTATTAGATCTCATCCTGTCACACTCAAGATACTCAACTTCCTTTGGAATATATTCCTATCATGTTCTCCAAGCCACAATTGTTTCTTGAAATGCATCCCCCTTCTTTTTGTCTCAGAAATAATCTGTGATGTATTGCCAGAATTTCCCTTTTAAGAACTTCCATCCGCATCGATCTTTTCCCTTAACTTTCTGCAATCCACAATATATTTAAATATGATTGGTTTTCTCCTCTTTGGCTACCTCAAACTCTACTGGGAGGCCACTTTTCTCCCGATGTTCATGCTACCTCTACTCTACCCATCAGTTCTTTAATCAAAATTAAGTGCTACCTAATAGTTTTTCTGATTCTTCAACCTAAGTGATGAAACCGTCAGCAAACAAAGCTAAAACTGATCATAATCTTGATGGTGGAAGTGGAAGTTTTTGGAGACAGAAAAGTAAAACTAAGAGTACAGAAGAAAGATCCATATAGAGAACTGAGGCAGCTTATGTGTGTGTATTCATGACTCATGTCTCATGTTCCTTAAACTAATGTTAAACTATCATCAATAACAACACTGAAACTTTAATTTCACAAGTTATTCTCTATTCTCTCCAAGAAGTTAGTAAAACTGTATCCTCCATTATTTGATAATAAAGCAAAGAGTTGCCAAAAACATAGCAAACAAAAAGGAAACAGAAAAAAAAGATATCTTTCCCACCTTACCTTATGTGTTATCCATTCTCGTCCATACTGATAGACATTATTAGCTGCAGAATTTAGAGCTCTTTGAACTACCTGAGCTTCAGGAAGCCAACTGAGGTTTAAAAAAAAAAAGGAAAAATATTAAAGTATATTTTTAATAAATAGCAGGTAATGAACACAAAGTTAGGAATACACACACATAAGCTGCCTCACTGGTGGAAATGAAGCTTTGTCCATTCTAACCCTGTCTCCTGGATCTGGCCTAAGTCCTCTATAAGGGTCTTTCTTCTGCATTCTAGGTTTTACTTTTCTCTCTTCAAAAGCTTTCACCTTAGTGGTCTTAGATTTCTCTAGGCTCATCTAGACTTATTTCGTTTTATTTACTGAGATAGAGTAAGGAGATAGAAATTCTGCCAGAGAATTCATTCAGAATAATAACCACCTGGGGATAAAGAATATAAAACACTGAATTTTTAATTTTTTTTCTTTTTCTTAAGAGACAACAAGACAGCATAGTGGATAGAGTGCTGGGCCTGGAATCAAGTGGCCTTGAGTTCAAATCGAGCCTCAGATACTTACCAACCGTGTGACCTTGGGCAAGTCACTTAACCTGTTTGCCTCAGTTTCCTCAATTGTTAGGGATAATAATAGTACCTACCTCCTGGAGTTGCTATGAAAATCAAATGAGATAATACTTATAAAGTACCTACTGGTACATGGTAGGTTCTATACAAAGTAAGCCATTATTAAAAAAAACTGGAAATTGTAGTTTATGAAATTTTAAAGATTGAAGGTATACGTAAACTGCTAAGCAATCTTTACTCTCCCAAATAATTTAAAAAAATAAAATCTTTTGTATATAACATTGGCTGTGATATCAAAGCATTACAATTACCCTACATTAATTGGTAAATACTACACACTTCAAAATGTGATAGAAAATGCCATTTCTGTGTCTGCAGTTTACTAACATTTGGATTTAGTGCCTTTTTTTTTTTTTTTCTAAATCAGTGGTTCTTTCTGTTGATGCCTGGGGCAGATGTTGGTAGATACTTCTTATTCTTCTAAATAGCCCTAAAAGAACTGAAAGTAGGGTAAACAAAGACAGGGGCATCTAAGGAGATTTAATTCCAATGATAAGTAACAGGAATCTTGCAACAAAGTGACTGTGTTAACTCGGAGTTCATTGTTTTTGCTTTGTGAGGGGCTGGGGGAGGGAGGAAGGATTGGACTTGTGATTTCAATGGTATGGGGAACTTCAAACGAGAAAACCCCCTCTACCAGTACATACTGGCACAAGTTCTGCACCCTACAGTCTCAGGGACAGTGATTTGCCCAGGGTCACAAAGCCCACAAGTTGTCAGGTGGAACTTGAACCCGGGTCTTGATAACACTGAAGGTACCCTCCAGTCACTATGCTTCTCCTGGTCCATTATAAAATCTGGTTAAATAATTATATTCAAGTGACCCTGTTGACAGCACATAGAGTATGGAAGGCCAGCTTTGGGGTGAAGAAGATCTAGGTTTCAGTTCCACCTTTGACATATCTATCTCCATGGGACCCCGGGCAAGTCACTTAACCTCAAAATGCTTTGGGCTCTAAGCATGAAGTTGCAAAGAAGGTGCCAACCGGCCTTAGTAGAAGGAGGTGAAATCTCAGGTCTAGGAACTGTTTCTATTCCTTCTGGACAAAGTGAAAACATGTTGAGAGGTCTTAAATAACCACTGGTGTTAGAATGGGTCACTTTTGACAAAGGAGGTGAAGATTTCCAAGGTCTTTGATATTTGGGGGAGATTATTTTTTGTCACTAAATCAGCATTCCTACATGAAACAGAGCCTATTCTATTCAGTTTTTTAAAAAAATTATAGTTTCCACATCAATGGAGGAATGCTGAACCTCATTCACCATTTCTACTACTCTGGTCAAATTTCAGACTTCAGGAAGGTGGCCTTACTTCGCCCATTCCGGGTGGTTGGCGACAGTCTCATTGATTAAACTGCTTGTGACTTGAATCATGTGTACACTCTCTTGATGCACCTGAATTAAAAAAGAAAGACTTTGAATGAAAAGCAAATAACGTTTAAACTTTTTAAAAAATTAACAACTACTAGCACAAAATGCTTAAACTTAAAATAGAGCTTGTAGCAACCATTCAACAAATAAAGGCAGCATGACATATGACACAGAGGGCTAGTCTTAGAGTCCGGAAGATCTCAAGTCAAATGCTGCGTCTGACACATTTGGGTGTGACAGCAAAGGCAAATCCTTTAATATCTCAGTGCCCTGGAAGCTCTCCAAGACTCAAAACTACAGAGAAGTTTTCCACCTGTGTGGTAAAGGAAGCTCAGCTTTATCTTTAATATGTCATGTCTAACCTTGTTGTTGGCAGAGTTGAGAAGAGAGTGTTCTGTTAATGTGCACAATCATTTAATAATATTTTCTAAATGTGAGCTGCAACCTAGAAACTCTCTCCCTTTAGAGGGGTGAGATAGGGATTCATGCGCCAAACACAACCCCCTGAGAGTAACGAAGAAGCGTGGCAGGACTAGTCCGCTAGTCTTAGGGGAGATTATGTCTCTTTTTAGCTCTGTTAATGAGAAGGGAATGCCGCAGAAGGGTCAGAAGCAGAAAAGATCAGTTTCTGGGAGCACTTTTTGCAGGGATTAGCATGCGGAAAAAAGCTAGACCACAGCTGAGTCTAACTGGATGACTAAAGACAGCAGGAAACAGAAAGCTATCTAACCAGTATAAGAAAAATCAGAAAGCATTTAAGCTATTATAAATGTGCTAATAATAAAGGTATTTAATGTATTAATACATAAATAAATTCAATTCAAACATTTACTAAATGTCTACTACTGTGCATTGATTACTTTTCTGGTTCAAACAAAAATAACATTTAGGAGTATACTGATAGCAGTATTTGTGCTAGCATAAATAGTAGCCATGTCTTCTGATGCTAATTCCAAATAAAATCTTAAGTACTATACCTTTGCTGTAAGTAGTAGGGCCAGAAGAAGGGTTCCTATTACTAGCAAAAATATGATGAAAATGCTGATTATTTTATCCAGCATTTTCTCCAACCACACAATCATCTGTGCAAAAAAAGGGTAGAAAACAGGATTTACAAAATGATATTCCATCAAATTTTGCTTATTTATCCAAAGGCATTCTTGGCATTACAAAAGTTGTTGTTGGAAAAAATGTTAAAATGTAAGCAAATCTGCAAATTAAATTACATGTATACACCACAGAACTTACATTATAAATCCCCCTGGAAATTCTCATATTAAAAAATGGCATCCAATTTAAACATCCTGTATATTTATTTGTCTTGAGTTCTTATTAGAAAGAATTTAGGAAGCATTCACAAAAAAATCTGGGAAAGTAGAGTTTGGTACATTTAATTTTCAAAGTTTAGTTTTTTATTAACACCTGTCAACACACACACACACACACACACACACACACACACAGGCAATTTAAAAATAAACCTGAATCATTGCCAAGTTTTACTAAAGTTTAATTTAAAGAAAATTATATTAAAGAAATATTTATAGTACTTAAATCACACCTAACCACTGAACAGTACAAAAATATTATCCACATCACCTGTAATACAGTTGTCTTACAGTAATACGAGGAAAATAAAAGCAATAGGGTCGATGTGAAAATAACTTTTTTTAGATCTCATGAAAAACAAGTCGGAAAATTTGATGTATTAAAAACACAGGAATTAATATATTAAAATGTCTGAAAAATGTTTATGAAAAAAGGCATTCACAAACTAACTGATCTTTCTTTTGGGTTAATTATAATCACTATCTCTCTAAACGCTACTCAATGTAAAAAGCAAAAAACATCCTTGTTTTCTGAAGTATGCACAATTAGATATATTATTTGTTAAATGGGTCTGAAAAATATAGCAATATCTTCTACACTGAAATTTCTGCTGCTATCCCACCTTTTTATAAACACTGAGATCTTAGCACTCATCTTCACTGTAAAGGTTATTCAACACTACCATTTTACTAGTGGTCACTGCTGAAAAGTAACACCGTATTCCATTCGGGGACTAATTTGTTGAATAATTTTGTAACTGAACTCTATATTTTCCTTCCTGAACAAAGGTATTTAATATTTGAGAAAGATAATTGTGCACAGAGAAAATGGAGTTATTTTTTCCTTTATTACTAATCATTCTGAGGAGAAAGATCACATGCTTCAGAATTCTAAACTGCCTTACTATTTACAAGTGAACCAAAGTGATTCCATTAGCAGGGATAGTAATGTGCTGCTTCTATAGACTTGTTATATTAGTAATATTTAAATTTGGTTTACTGACATGTATTTTGCCAGAAGGGCCAATATGCATACCACCTGAATTAATAAAACAAAATAATGATGAAAAAGTATCGTGAAAAGTTTTTCTAAAAATTTTTACCATGGAAAACCAGCAAAAAACCAAAAAATTTAATTACTATTAGAAGATTATTGACTAATAGGTTTCTAAGTTACCTTCCCCTATTTCTTCCATGTAATTATATACATAATTGAGGCTATTATCGCTAGATCAAAACTAGATTTATCCTAGAGAATAAAGCTTATCTTTAATATATTTTACTAAAATTAATGACAATAAATCATAAAGATTAATTTCTGGTGCATGCTGTCAAAATACCCAAGACAAAAGCAATTGGAGGATAATAAACAGACATTTAAGATATGGAAGGTCTTTTTAAGATATATCAAATTTTGAAATTAATAAAAAAGGAAGCTATACAAATTTATGTAAAATTAGAATTCTGAAATCGAAGATACTTATGCTATATGTCTATTCAATAAAACAATTCTATTTTCTATTTAAAATGTAGTAGGTTAGATATTCCTAGACAGTATTTTTAAAAATAAATTCCTTAGGAATTATAAATACTTATCTATATATCTACAGCAGAAAATAAATCATCTATAAACAGTATATATCTTAATTACAGATATTTTAAAATGTATACATTCAGAATATTTGTAAAAACTCAATTTTTTAATAATCTCCACTCATAGCCTAGCCGACCTTAGCATTTACACTGGGGATGAGGAAATTTTTTTTTCTCTTAAGTGCCACAGCCCTCTAGAAAGAAATCAACCAAGAGCTAGCAAAGTAAAAAAAGTAACTTAATTTGAGTTACTGTTGTTTTTAAGATTTAGAAAACATTTTATTTGTATGCTTCAAAACTTAAGGACAGGGCACATAAAACTCTATTCATTAAGTTTGTGATCAATAAGTTGGTCTTAGGCCACAGGATAGCTAGCTGAGGCCAGCAATGGAAAACTGAAGGGGAGGGTCAGACAGACAAGCAAAGGGAATCAAAGAAACAAAAACTAAATTAGACAGAACAAATCATAGAAGGTGAGAAATGAAAAGGACACAAAAAGATGGCTTCAGAAAAACCTGAGAAGACATATACTGATGTAGAGTGAATTGAGCAGAACCAGGAAAACAAGTTATGCTATAATGACATTGTAAAAATGAACAATTTTGAAAGATGTAAGATCTCTGATCTATGCAATGAATGCTACCCATCTCCTGAGAAGGAGATCATATTATCTCTAAGGTAGCCCTTCCAGTGCTAAATTCTACAATTCTATGAAAAACTAATGATTTTGTCCATGGTGAACAAGGTGTCACATCCATTCACAAGTATTTATTAGTTAAGTGTCTGCTATGTGCCAGGGTTATATACTTTAGAAATGATCTTGTCCAATCCCTTCATTTTTACAGAGAAAGAAACTGAGGCTCAGAGAGGTTAAAATGATTTGGGTGCAAAAGAATAAAAAGCAGGATTTGGAGTTAGAGACCTGGGTTCTATGAGTTAGTATTTGTGCTACACTAGGCTTTGGAAAAATCAAATTCACCTTTTGTCTATCTGGATACTACTAGAAATAAATTGTGGGGAAACAAAACAACTCAGCTGGGAGAAAGTGGAGAAGTGAAACTAACCAGGAAAAAGTAGGTTTAATGTGAGTGAAAACTACAGATTATGTTAACACAATGGGAACATAAACTTAAACTGAGTAAATTATGTTTAGTTCTACCTGGGTCCAATTAGACAAAAAAATTATTTTTATCCTTAAAGCTTAATACTACTTTTGTTAAGTATAGCCCATTTAGCTGCTCCTCTTGAATTTTATTATCCATTATTTCAGGCAGAGGATGATTTTGCCCTATAAATTTGCTTCCTGGTAAGGCTTTTGAACCCTCACACTACAGGGAGAGTAGTCATTTTGAACAGTTTTAAAAAATGTAATTTGGCAGCTACTCAGAAGTAACCATAAATAGCAGAACTGAATGTCACAACTTGTCAATGCAACTTAACTCATTTGAACTGTGATCTCCCTTCAGGACCACACAACTGTTACAATCAATTAAAAAAAAGAAAAATCCTTTGCTTTACAATCCTAGAAACAACTTCTCAGGTCATGCCATAAAGGCAACAGTTACGTTTTAAAAATACCATTTAGCTATATATAAGTATGTAAGGGATTTCCTACAACTTTTAGGAAAAAATACAACTTTAAAGTTTACTTAAGTTGGGAAAGACAAAGATTGCTGTTTTGGGTAGAGGAGGAAAATATAACCCTACAGATTTCAGGCAAGGGTCAACACTGCCAGAATTAATTATAAATTAAATATTTTTACTGCCTACCCAAAGTTCATAAGTTCAGGTGTTCGTGGTATCCTCGCTTTTCCTTCACTTTTTAAACCAAGTATATTCTTATCTTACAGTGAAAGAAATGCTTTTAGTGAGTAACATGCCTATCTTGGAACCTGATAGAGTATTTCCAAAAAGTGTGTTACAGTTAAACTCTGTTAATCTAGAATATTACCTCTCTGTATCTGTTTAAGGATCAGATAAAATTAAGTTTTGCATCACCAACTGCTTGTTGGCCATTTCAAATGGTGTACCTCACCTTCAACACATTCAAAACATCTCATTATTTCTCTCCAACCACAACCCCAGGGCATCTATCACTCTAACTCAATTAACCCTCCTTCTAAAACTCCTTATTTCTCTCAGAGGTATCACTCTTGAAGATACAATGGTACCTTCCAGTGACTCAGGTTTGCAACCTTGGAGACATCTTTGAATCCTCCTTCTCCCTTAGCCTACATAACTAACCAATCAGCAAACATTTATTGCCTACAATGTGCCCAGGGCTGTTCTAAGCACTGGGGATATAAAGAAAGGTAAGACAGTCCCTGTTCTCAAAGAGATTGCAGTCTAATGGGGGAAGATATGCAAACAACCAGGAACAAACACAATGTATACAGGATAAGATAGATTAAAAAGGATGAGAAAAGGCTTCTTGCCAAATGCGGAGTTTTAGCTGAGACTTGAAAGAAGCCAGAGAAGCCAGGTGGCAGAAATGAGGAGGGAGAGAACTCCAGGCAAGGAGAACAGCCAAGGAAAATGCCTCAAGTTGGGAGATGTCCACTGTGAGGAACAGGAAGGAGGCCAGGGTCACTAGACTGCAGAGTATGTGGAGGGGAGGAAAGTATAAAAAGACTGGAAAGGTAGGCAAGGGTGCTAAAAACAATTTTTAAGGTATAAAGGGCTTTTAAAAAGCCAAATAGAAGATTTTATGTTTGATCCCGGAGGTAACAGAGAGCTACACTCAACGAACTGGAATGATGACATGTACAAATATAAATACATACAGAATAAATACAAGACAGTTGGGGTGGGGAAGGCGGTTCTGGCAACTGGAGGTCTCATGAAAGGTCTTTGTAGAAAGTATAGTATGAGCTTTGATTTGAAGGGAAGAGAAAGATTCTATGAAGTGAGAGTAAGGCATTCCAGAGAGGGGGAGAGGGCTCCTGTGTAGGAAGAATAGAGAAGGCCAGTCTGGCTGAAGAGCAGATTGTGGGAATGGAAATAGCAAATGATGAGGCTAGAAAGGGAGGTTGTGAAGGTCTTTAAAAGCTAAACAATGAATTATGGTAAATGAATATATGGGATCTTATCATGCCACAAGAAATGATGACAGGGATGGTTTCAGAGAAAACTGGAGAGACTTGTATGAACTGAGACAGAGTGAAATGAACAGAACCAGATGGAAAAGACAAACAACTGTCCCCTTGCCTTTGCTCATGCCTGGAATGAACTCGCCTCTTGATTCCCTAATTTTTTTCAAGGTTCAGCTGAAACGTCACCTTCTACATGAAGCCTTTCCTGATGCCCTCTAGATATTGGTACCCTCCTCTTCACAACTTATATCTGTTTCATGTGGAGCAGAATTGCTGACTCTGGAACTAGAGGACCTGGATACAAAGCTGGTGTCTGATGCTAATTACCTGTTTAACCTTGGACAAATCATTAGACTTTCCCAGGCCTCAGTTTCCTTAACTGTGACATGAGTAGACTGAACTACATAGCCTCCAAGGACCTTTCTGAATCTAAATAGATGATCCTGTGACATATATAGGTTCCTGTTGCTTCCCCAATAGATTGTACACTCCTTGAGGGCAGAAACTTTTAATTTTTGTCTTTGCATACCCAGTGCTTGGCATAGTGCCTGGCACACAGCAGGCACTTAATAAAGCAATTATTTTATTAAGAAAAGAAATTAACACCAACAGAAGGGCTTGTGTGGTTTGTTTCCTTTTCAGTAAATGTTTAATACTTTTAATGTATTCCTAATTTGTGAACCATTATGCAGATGTGGGCTTCTGGCTGGCCATGACAAAGCACGGAATTTTTAAGGTCTTTAGGGATGGGGATTTCATCACATCTCTGATTTTAAACAAGTTATCATCAACACTATGGCAATTTTGGTATTTTATGACCTTCCATAGCTTACACAAAAAACTATGATGACAGTTGGGAATTCTGAAGGAAACAGACTTGAAAAGCAAGGTTAGGAAAACTCCCCCCAATGCGTTATTAGTAGCAACCGATATGTTTGTTTATTTACCTTCTTATTAAGCCAATGCCAGAGCTTGGAGATTGGGGTGGAAATGAGAAGAGAAGAACAGTAGAAGATTATTAGAGAATGCAATGAAGGGAAAAGATAAAGAAATCTGTCCAAAACATGAGAATAAAACTGTTCCTGAACAAAAAGAAACTAAGAAAGAATAAAAAAAAAAAGAGTAGAGAAACTTGTAATTCAGTATCTTCCTATCCTAAAATCCACCATATGCCACTAAGTGAATGTTGACAGTACAATTTTGCTAGTATAATTAACTAATTATAAAGGCACAAATGAAATGTTTGAAGAGTTTTCTTCTTACCAATTATACTAAAATCCCAAAGACTAGACTTACATTTGTGAAGGTCATTTTTACAAGCAGTAGATCAAATTAATCCAAGAAATTTATGAATTGATATCTACATTCTGTTTTTAAAGCATTCTTCTACAAGTATAGACATGCTTTAACCTACTATTCTATGTCATGAATAACTTCATGCATTTAAAAAACCTACATAGGAGATAAATCTAGATAATGCTACTTTGGTTCCCATAGGGCTGGCTGGGTGGTGGGGTGGGAAGGCATTTCGGGCATGCTTTTATAAAAAGTATGCAAATGAATATAATATAAGTTTCATTAATCTAAAATGTTATGATGCATATAGCATAAAACTTTTAAAAAAGTATCCTCAAAAGGTGTAGGAAGAAATCTGGACATTGTTAAGTTAGCTTCAAATTTGGAGTCAGGGGTCCTGGGTTTGAATGTCAGATCTTCAGGTTAAAAAGTAAAGTAAATAATGTACTGCGAGTGATTTGATAATCAAATATGTTAAGGGTTTTCAGTGTTGACTGAACTGAAAGTCATTTTAATCTTAAATGCATATATTTGACACTGAAGAAAAATATTAAAACTAGGTAAGTTAGTTTTAAATACTTTAAATTTCTATTGTATTTAGTGACAGACTTCCTCCTGATAAAGTAAAAACAACTCACAAATATCCACAATTAATTTATATATGGTTTAATTTCCAATTATCTGAATATCTGTTTTGATTTAAAAGACAATAATAAACTCCTTTAACTTTCTGCTGTAAATGAGGAATTAATAAAATAATAATATAAACATAGTATTTTCTTTCCTGTTTACAAATGCTGGCCTTATAACAACTCTGTCAGGAAGGTGTTGTATTATTATCCTCATTTTACAAATGTATAAAATGAGGTTTAAAAAGATTTAAGAGCATAAAATTAAGAGTCAGGAAACTTGGTTGTGAGTCTCAGCTATGCCATGACCGACCTGGGAATCAAAGTTCAGCACTCTCAGCCTCTGCTTCTTCCACTGTGTTTGAAAGTGAAAAATAATTAGGGAGTAGCATGAGATTATCTTTAACCTAGGAATATGAATCAACAATCTCTCCAGTGTCACAGAGGAGATGGAGGAATCAGGACAAGTTACATGACTCTAAGTCCCATCCTCTTTCCACTACACTTGACATAAAATTAAATCTCCTAAAAATGTGCAATATGGAGCTTTAAAAACGAATCCTATATCTATATCTGGGCTTTGAAGAATATGTATTAAGATTCTATCACAGAAACAAGACTGAACTTTTGTAAGAAAGAAGATTAAGTTAGGCCTTTTCTGGTTTGTGACTTATATAAAATGCTTCTCATGTAATCACATGTTCCTCTGTAATTACGAACATGAAACATTCAGATCACAACTCCATCTTGGTTTGGCTACTCCCTTGTAAAGAAGGAGTCCCTCAATATACACCTAGAAGATATTAAAAGTAAAATCACTGAATACAAGAAGGGAAACACTGATTCAACAAGAAACTCATTTATCAGTACTTCTGAAGTTGTCTTTCAAGTAACAAAATGCTTGCTATTTGAAATGTCTTAAAAACAATATACCACAGCAAAAAACACCCCCCCACACTTGAAATACTGTACCTTGCTATCAATTTTTAACATGAACTTTCCAAGCCCTACAATGGGCCATGGTGTGAGAGCTTCTTGCCGTTCCTTCAAAAATTTTTCCAGAACTTGCCACCATCCATAGCAATGTTCCTTTAAGAAGTTCACAACTCCAAAGTGTATAATAAGTTTTTTGAGTATCCAGACTGTAATCAATTTTAAAAAATGAAAAGGACAAAGATTAAAAAAAGCTATACTCTTAACTTTTATCCTAAAGATTCATGGAAAAGTACGTTCACGTACTTAACAGAATCCACTAAAATAATTTTATAGATTTCTAGAATGGTTTTAGAAGGAGAAACACCTCAGATCAGAGGCTGTAAAGCAAGGATCTGTGAATTTGTTTTTTAAATTGTGATAACTGCATGTAATTCTCTCTACAACAATTATGACAAGGGGTCTTCTGGGTTAGAGTTAAAGACTTCCAGTAATAGGGGAAGTCACTAGCTACCAAAGAAGTCCATTTCACTTTTGAATATTGTAATCCAAATTGGATTACTTCATATCCTATTAGATATGAAGTTTTTGCTTTAATCAAACTACAAATTTTTTATCTTTCTACAACTTTTATTCAAGGCCTCTGGTGACCTCTGGTCACAGGGCCACATAAAAGAAATCTAAGTCCTTTGCCACATGACAGTCCCTCATATGTAAGAAGATAGTCGTGAGCCTTGAAATGGTAAGCTTAGAAGTAATTAACTTGGTTTCTACTGTAATTAAGGCTTGATCTAGTTTTTATGGAACAATCCTAAAATCCATTATTTATTGAAGCCTTTTAAAATATATTTATACTTTTTTCTTATACTACCTCAAGGTACTAAGTTACATTCATTTATTATTACTTGTTATATGCAATTGTTTATTGAACAAACAAATGAATGCTGAATAAATGAACTGGTTATTTCCTATTTGCCCTAAATTTATACCATTCAAGATTTAAGAGCTGCCTTTCAGCTTGCTATAGTCCAGAATTACGTGAAAAACTTTATTTTCAAACATATCTCACAGCCTTCATCTTTCCAGAAGGAAGAATATGAATCTTCTTATTTGCCTTCAAATGGAGCCCCACAAAAACTTCATAATTTTAGTTGCTCTTTTCTGGACCTTCTCCAGCTCCTTTATATTTTGAAGTATATATCAACTAAAATAGCATATAGTATTCCAGATATGGATATGCCATGATTTCATACTACTGTAGAATATTTTTAGTTTTATATTTGGTGTACTCTTTTTTTTTTTTTTTTGGATAATTCCCTGTGTTCTATCCTCTACTCTCAGGACTCAGCAGAGAAGTATGCTGGTTACCCAAGTAGGGGTTTAGCAAGACTGAAGACATATAAGCCAAAAGTAGTTCAACTCTTAAGTAAGCCATGTCACTCGGTTCTGGTAATCTTGCCTAACCTAACTTACTCCTTAAAACTAGTACTGGATTGGTTCTCTATGGTCCTACACTAAGAAAAGGATTTCTGTTTTCCTGACCCAGGTTTGGAATCTTGAGTTGGTTTTCCTGCACTGAACCTTGACCTTTGAGTGGAGGAATTCCAATAAAGTTTTTCCTGTTTGAGCGTGAAAGAGGCTCCAGATTATTATAAACCCTAAGGCAAGTCTTACATAGTCTTCAGGATTGGCCCAAGTCTGATAAAGACCCTTTGGGTAACTACAATCCTTGGTAGGTTTCCTTTGATCATAACCTCTGTTCCTAACATCATCCCAAGGTCCCTACCACCGCCCTGCAATTTAGGGTGATGAATAAGCACCCTCAAAGTGTGGTTACTCTTGATAGACTAAATGAATAATAGGACCTCAAAGCAGCAACTGTATCTTTCATGTTTGTGCTGCCACATCACACTGCCTCCTGGGACCATTCAGGAAGATGATTTTAAAAACCACACTTTTTAAACCATAACCCCAAGTTCCAGATTCAACAAAGGGCTTTCTAGGGATTTCCTGAAATAATATGTGGGCATGGTGTATGTTCAATCTCTGCTATGCCTTGTACCTTTCCCTTTAAAGGATCAAGGCATTAAAGGTTTGACCAACAGCCATCAAGCTACTAAGGCAGAAAAGCCAATAACATTGGTATTACGTGTACTTAAGGATGCCTATGAAAAAGAATATACCTCAATGTATGTGTGTGTGAATACATTTAATTCAACACATTTCTCAGTTTCAAAAACTCAATTCTTAAACTGAAATTGTTATCTTATCCAATGAAAAAGATGTAATTTTTTTTTGGGGGGGGTGAGGCCATCGAGGTTAAGTGACTTACCCAGAGTCACACAGTTAGTAAGTGTTACGTGTCTGAGGCCGGATTTGAACTCAGGTCCTCTTGACTCCAGGGCCAGTGCTCTATCTACTGTACCCCATGATGTAACTTTTAAAAGTAAATAAAGGTTAGCTCTCATAACATATCAAACTAGGTTGTTTGTTCACTTTCCTTTTCCTTGTGCATATCATCACACTGTACATAAACACAAATAATCAGGCTTCTCTATGATCTCTAACAAATTGACTCTCCACTCAAATACTACTTGCAAACTCATAAAAGTTCAGCTGGAAATGGAAAAGAGAGCAATAAACTATGTAATGACCTGCAACAGGCACTGGAAGCAACTGGACAATCCACAAATTCAACCAGATCTGGACTATAATGATGGCCCATACAAGGGTAACAAAGTAGACATCACTGGTTTTCTTCTTTCTAAGAAATGTTCCAATCTCAGGCCTCTGTCTCCCCAAAGTGGGAGATGGGGAGGAGGCAGTGGAAGAAGAAGGAAATGTACAAATGGATTCTCCATCGTTTGCAGTTTCTGTAAGAACAAAAATTGTATACTCTATTAATTTCTGCTAAACACCATTAGTGGGCAACTGATCAACCTATTCCATTTTAAGTTTTGAAAGACACACACATTATTCAAATAGTAAAATACAAAGACTTCTGATATATGCTATATTAACCACAAAAAATAAATTTCTACTAGGTACAGTGGACTGGTATGGTATTAGCATTCATAAAAACCAAGCTTTTAACATTTGGTCTTGTCTTCACTTGATACGTTTTGTTTTGTCTTTTTGTTTGACGGACAATCTGGCATTTAGATCTGGTTATGCCACTAGCAATGAAACTTTAAGCAACTCACCATTTTCCTGGGTTTCGGTCTTCTCAGTAAATAAAAAGGGGGACAAAATTATTTCTAAGGTTCTAGCATTCTGTGATTCTAGTAAACAATTTAGAGTATACAAATTACTATACCTATAAAACATTTATTAATGGTTAAAAATGTCTGTCAATTTATCATATATAAATCCCAAGGTAGAGAAAGCTCTTCATAGATACTTATTTACAAACTGAACTTTCAGGAGGCTTATTCATTTCTTTACAAGATATGACTTTCTAAGTACGGTATATTGCCTTGTTTATTCTAGCCTTCCAAACATTAGTGATAGGGATGTTTCGCTGAAATAACAATTAGGAGTATGAACTTTTACAAATCTACCTCTGATACAAATGGCATCCCAAAAGACCCATAGTTTGCCATATAACATTATATAGTTTTTTTGCTTTTAAAATAAACAAAGTTTATTTTAATTGTATTTGATTTTAAGAGACAGGAACCATAAAAATTTAACATAAAATTTTAAAAGTGTTCTTAAATTTAGTACTTGTCATATCCCTTAGGACACAGAGTGAAATATAATTTAAAATTTTTAAAAGTCAGCATTATTTAAAAGCTTAATTGTTTCTGAAGAACACTGAATCCCATAGGAATATTAAATCCTTCCATGCTTTTGCATATGGGATCTCTAGTATCTGGAAATAACTGATTCCTCTATTTGTTATTACTTTCTCCCTTTTATAATGTCTTTATATCTGCTTACGTGTATTTACATTATATGTCCTTCTACTCTCAAGCAAAGTTGAAGCTCCATGAGGGCAGGGATTATTTCCATTTTATTTTTTATTCCCAGTAATACAATGCCTTACATATATAAAGGAGGGCTGAATTAAAAAGAAAAAAATCTGAAGTAAAAAAATTTGAATTTTTAAGTAGTTTAAGTGTAAGGATAGTAAATACAGAGTTACAAGTGAAAGTATCACAAGCATCATCAGTCCAAATAGATTCTCTCTGATCAGACATTCAACTAAAGCATGCAAATTAAAGTATGGTTTTAGTGCATGATCTAGAAAAGGAAATATTTTTGTAACAATGCTTTTTCCCTAAGAGAAAAAAATGACTAGTTCAAGTACCTATATAGTAGGTCTCAGTTCATATATAAATCACTTGCACTGACCTTGCCCACTCCTCTGACTCACTACTAACAGTTATCACAAACAACTCCTATTGAAACCATCCTTACTACTCTTGCCTAGCCCTGCTAACAACTTAACTGTATCCAAGCAGTTTTCTACTGGCCCAGCTATGTCCACAAAACCTTCTTAGAATAAAAGAGTGTGTTCTGGGGATAAGTACAAAAAATGGATTTCCACCAAACAAAAGAGTAGGTTAATTATCGGTCTATTGAAGGTACCCAGAAGGCCCCTGTTTCCTCTACTCCTTGAAGGGCTGTCATCACAGGAAGGAAAGCAAACAGCTGACCTTCAGGTGAGAGAATGAAACAGGTATAGCCAACACTGAAAACTTCTTGATGAAGTACACTGGCATCTTTGCCCTAATGGATCAACAATGAGATACTGCTATTACTGTCTTTAAAGAAACCTATGTCCTGTGGGTATAAAGTAGCTAAATATGAGGAAAGAGGGGGAAGAAACAATGGAGGACCCTTTGTTGCTATGAGAATAAGGCTGTGGCAGACTGGGATCCCTCATCTTTTCCTTTCTATTTGTACTAATGTCACTGACCTCAAGAACGTGACTAGGAAGATGTATTTTGTGTGTTTTTTTTGAGGGACATCTATGTCTATGACCATGATGAAATGGGACTTTGATGTCTAATCATATATAATACCACTAAAAAGTCAGTCTGAAGAGTTTGTGTCTCACACTCACCAAAAGTAACCTCTATGGCATAGGTTCCCAAAGTGGGCATTATTGCCCCCTGGGGGTGGTAGTAACCTCAGGTGCAACTGGAGGGAGTTGAATAAAAATAAGTGGATGGTGGAAACATAAGGAAAAAAGAGAAGATGAGAAAATTTGAAAAACTGTCTGTACATGTTTCATCTGTTGTGTAACAGAGTTAAAACTGTAGTGATTACATTATTTTCCAAATAAACACACAAAATTCAAGTTATAACCAATCAGTGGTCAAGTCTGCTGACAGTTCTTAACAAGCAAGTGTTGGCAGGGGAGCCCGTTGTGCATTGTTGGGAAGTCCAGCATGTATCATCAGGAATATGTAATGACTTATTTACAATATGACACTACACAGTTATATGATGCAATATTACATCAAAATTTCAATGCAGGAAAAAACCACAAAGTACAATAAATTATTAACTTTAAGATATATCATTTTTTAAATTATTTTTAAATTTTAAATTTAATTAAAAAAAAAAAGCCATTAAATATTAAAGAAAGTAGATTTCCAAGCAGAAGAAAACTTCTTGGGTACAGTTAAGTTGTTAGCAGGGCTAGGCAAGAATAGTAAGGATGGTTTCAATAGGAGTTGTTTGAGATAACTGTTAGTAGTGGGTCAGAGGAATGGGCAAGGTCAGTGCAGGTGATTTACATATGAACTAAGACCTACTATATAGGATAGTAAAAAAAAATTCCAGTAGATTTTTTTTTAAAGGGGCAGTAGGTCAAATAAGGTTGGGAATCTCTGCTCTATGGCAATACTTTGTGAGGCCACTCTTTTTCTTTCAGAGCAAATTCATGCTCAGTGGGGGCTAGGAACTTGTCAAAGCTCCCTCATACCATATTTCACCACATAATTGTCGCAGTCTGTTTTTCAGTCCAAAAATTGGTTTATAACCTTTCATCGTGTAATTGCTGCATGGCATAATTCTGTTCGTCACACCACTTAAAAGGTAAACAAAGCAGCAATGTATTCCCCAGTGGCATACAAATAATCTTTGTGCACTGAGAGCCACAAGCCTAGAATTCTCATTGCATGTGCATTGTCAGTATTCAATTTTAACATATATCATGAGTATTCCATGCATCCTTATCTTGCACCAAAGACAGTTTAGTAATAAATGATTTTTAAGTAATACCAGCACAATTTTTAAAGCTTCACATAATGGTCACACGCCACCTTTTTTGCAAAAATTTGCCATAAAATCTGTGCTGAATATGCAGTGAAATACTGTAAGTCTGCCAGAGGGAGTGAAGGGAAGTGGGATTACAAAATAGGGATCAGTGGGAAGGATCATAGGATCATGGTTTCTAAAAAGCCTCTAATCAAACCCTCTCCTTTTACAGATGAGAAAACTATGGACCAAGACCAAGAATTGTGCCCAGTCAAATGGGTGTCAGAAGATGGTTGGTGGATCAGGCAGACAACCTGAACTGGGAACAGCAATGGTGTTTCTTCTGCTATACTTACCACCCAAGGTACTTTCCCTTTACTCTATGTCTTTTAATGATGAACCTTTTCTTCTACCATCAAAGAGTCAGCTGTGTACACTCTGGGGTCAGAGCTGGCCTGGCCCTATACAGCCCTCAGGCAAGCACTTTCTGCTGGTGCTCTGATGGCCATAACCAGCTCTCCTACTGTCGCCAAACTCTAATCCCCATCATAAGTAGTTAGGCCTAGACTACAGAGAAAAATACAACAAGAAGAATAGGGAGAGTTCTGGACAGAAGAACTAGTATATGCCTGTCTAAGTTGAGGGAGCAGAAACTAAAGCCAGGTATTGGCAAAGCTCCTACTGAACCACTGGGGAAACTCACTGGAGTCAAGTATCAACCAAATCACTTGCTGCACAGAAGTATCAACAGTGAGATCCCCTTCTCCACTCTAAAAGAAAAACAGGGAAAAGGAAGACATCCATAAAAGATGATTAGAGTGAGTGGAGATGGAAGAAAGGGAAAAAATAAGGCAAAAAATCAAAAATAGATCAAAAGGAGTAAAGAAAAAAAAAGAAATGGGTTAAGGAAGGGAAAAAAGAGTAGAGGTACAGGGAATCCAAAGGAGATGAAGAATAATAGAACAGAATAGGAAAAAAAAATTACAGGTGAGAGGAAAAAAACCCTGAGACATAAAGAAGAAATCAAGAAAACTTCAGAAATAATTTATTTATTAAGTATCCTTTTAACAAGGCAAAATAAAAAGGGAAAAGAGCAAAGAAAAAAAAAGAAAAAGAGCAAAGGAGAAAAAAAGGAAAAGAAGGAAAAAAAAAAGGGAGGGTAGGCAACCAGATAAAAATGTAAACATAGAACAAAAGAAAAAGTATATAAGGTTAAAAAAAAATACACACACACACACACATAAGATTAGGACTAAGAAGAAAGGAGAAAATTTTTAAAATGGAGTAGTAACAAAAAAGTCAAGAAGTTTTATAAACCTCACATACATGATCATAAGATGTTATAATTTTATGTTATATTCTTACACAGTTCAGTCACCTGTGGGTTGTTGTGTTGAATTATGCTCTTCTTGTCCTAGCTCGTACCCTGTGATGGATATGGCAAATGTGGCCAGTGTAGAAGCAGCAATAGAAATCACCTGACCAGGTAATTCTGTTCCTATAAAATAAATACATTTCTTCAAAAAAAGGAAAGGTTGTTTTAAATTAGAAATACTTTCAATTTGTTTCTACAGCTTTAAATTAAACTTTACACCAAAACAATGGATATTATTAATATGTAAATTCCAATAGAGGGCTTTAAGATTTTACACATCACCAAAGTATTTATAAATAAGCAAAAAAAAAACCCCGTTGAAAATACAATAAAATATTGCTATGTTTTACTTTATGTGGATTTCACACTAAGATATATTGAACAAATGGCATCAAGTCTTAATGACATGCTATCCTATTAGGTGTTAACAACATTACTTCAGCCCATATCCCTCCTGGCTCAAAGTCTAGCATGATTTTGACCACAAGGCCAGAAACCAAGAGATGACCATCAAATTATAAAGTCAATCTCAGAGAAACGTCTGCACTCAAGTGATGGTGAAGCCATAAAGAAAACCAGTATATCAGAGATGGAAAGAGAAGCCAGCCCCCTGTTCCAGGCCCCATTTTGTCAGTGTTATCTAATTTGTACCTCTGTTACAAAAGCTTTACTGTGCTTTTTTTCTTAACATTCAACCCCATTCCTGCTCCCTTTGCTTCATTCATTCTCTCTCTTGATTTATTAATTGTATTTCACATTGCTGTTAGTACCACCACAGAGTTGTGAAATCTCACTGCAACCAAACCTTATCATAATGCCAAAAAAACTTTGCTGAATTCCTTTTAGTCAATCATCCAAGACACATTCCTGTCTAAAGTAAAGTCGTAAACAATCTTGCTTCACAACTGACTGGAAACAACAGAAGATCTCTTTGTTGAAAGGTTTCTCTAGACTATGAGTCTAGAAGCACACCATAACAGTGTCAGATGCCTCACCAGCAAGAATAGCATTCTTAGGGCATTCTAATCTAATTTATTCAATCAACAAACACTGGTTAAGGCTTACGGTGTGTCAGACACTCTCTCCTTCAAGGAACTTACTTTCTAATAGAGAGGCAACATATAAAGAGATACACACAACATACATAAAGAGAAACTGAGGAATAAAGTATAATTAGATTGTACAAATAAACTACATATAAGATAAACCAGAAACTATCAATAGAGGAAAGGCACTAGAATTAAGGATGATCAGGAAAGGTTTCTTTTAGGAGATGAGATTTTAATTAAGATTTCTGAAGCCTCTTTTTCTTTTGTCAGAACACCTGATGCATATAGTTTTTAACGAAAGACCAAAGGGCTCACATTCTCTCAGAATTCCATTTGGACTTAATTTAAGGGTATCTATTGTCTAGTTAACTTGGTATTACTGATACCTTAATGTTTGACTATTTATTTGTGTACATGTTAGTGACTGTGGGCATGTAAACGAATGGCTAAATGGAGCACCTTCCAACTGGGATTAAATGGTTTGGGGTCTTAAAAGAACAAAAATCATAACGAAGAATAAGGTTCGAGAGATTGAAGAAAAGCACTAGATTCAAAAATGACTAAAGATATAAACTTCTCTGGGATCTGGGCAAAAACATTCTGCTCAAAGAATAACCTAGATTTAAGAGGACTTGAAAAGTGTTGTCTAGAGTTGTCTTGGAGGCAGCATATCGTGTTAGAAAAAGAATTATTAGACTTGGAATCAGGAAGCCCTAGGTTCAAATCCTCCCTCTGACATCTACTACTTGTGGCCTTCTAAGTCCTGGGGTGTGGCCTTTGGACTGAATCCTAGTTTTACAGAACAAATCCTTTTATTAAGGGGAATTTATTCTGTGAAGTTTGGATTCAGTCAAAGGGTAACACCTGAGGACCTAGAGGGCCACATGTCTGTAGGACATCCTTTCTTGTTTCCTCATCTCTAAGACAGGATGATGCTTATAATGCCCATCCCACAGGGTGGTTATAAGCTCAAATGAGAATGTATTTAAAGCATGTGACATACCTTTTAAGTGACATATAAAGGTCTGTTATTAATAACATCATTGTTACAAAGCAGGGAATCAATAAACACCAAAAAGCTCAACTCTGCATTTGCTTTATGAAACTATAAATAGTTTACTTTAAAAAAACCTGTGCTTATTTATTACTACTCAGAATAAAATAATTACTGTGACAGTCAGGAGAACTGACTTAAGACTGATGGTTTGCTGATGATTTACCATGGCAGGGGAGTAATGTGAAATAAAGAAGCTTATATTCCTACACCTGTAACAATCGCCTAAGCTTTTTTGTGACAGCAGCAAAGGGATGTCACTAATAGTCATGGGACTGTGGTACTATCGAGTTTATAACTAGGAAATTATGGGTTAAGGAAAGAAAATTCAGACAGAGTATCAGAAAATCAGTCTCTAATTTTGCCATGCCAAAATAAACTGTATTTTCTGTTTACATACTTGTCCTGTTACCACTGTTTTTCTAATGACAGAAATTCTGGAATTTCAAAACTTTAAAAATAGCTTGCTGGGATTCTGGGAAGATGGCAGAGTAGGTCAAAAAACTTTTGGCTCACTAAATTTTTCCACAAAAAAAGACAGAACATCACCTCAGAAAGAATGTAGGGTAGCAGAAATAAACAAGTGGGGGTAAAGCAAATGTCCTCCTAAGACACTATGAGAAAACCCTAGCAAAGACCCAGGGGCTCCGGGGGCAGAGATTTGGTCTGAGTGAAGTGCAAACACCTCCAGGCATACTCTGCAGAACAAATAAGCTCTAGGGGCATCTAGGGTTGGGAGGCAGCCTCAGCCTTAGAAACATTCATCTCATAGACAGTATGTACACACAGTGTGTGTGGTGTTTGTAAGGGGTGTGGCGGAGGGCACTGTATGACAGCTGAGTAGAACACTGAAGGAACTTTCACTATGGAGAGACCCAAGCACAGCTGTGTTGACCAGACTTGTCCTAGGCCGTGGCTGTAGGGAGAAGGAGCTAGCACATACCAGGTGAGTACAGTAGTAGAGGAGTGGGGACCCTGCTGGCTGTGGGCACCTGCAGGAGAACAAAGTCCCTGGTTTCAGTTTCAGGGCAGAGAGGACAGCTGTAGTTTGAAGCCAACAGAGGAACCGCAGGGAGCAAGATCATTTGCTAGGCAATGTGGTTGAAGGTCCTAGCTATGGCTTAGGAGTAGAGACAGGTGCCCAAGGTTGGGCCCCAGGACAGACTTCAGAAAATAACAGTAAGAAGAATCCGAGGCTTGGGGCATCATTCCCCATACCTCAGGACTGGAACTTGATTATACCTACAGCTGCTAAGAACAAAATAAAACAAAAAATAAATAAATAAAAATAAGTAAACAGAGGAGAAAGAAACCAACCATAGATAGCTGGGGATACTATGGGGATAGAGAAGATCTGGGTTCATATTCGGAGGAAGATAACAGAGCTAAAAAAAGCCACTCCTTTTTCAATGAGATACATCAAATGGTCCCAAGCACAAAAAGAGTTCTTGGAAGAACTTAAAAAGGACTTTAAAAATCAAATAAGAGAGATTGAGGAAAAATTAGGAAAAAAATAATAGCAATCCAAGCAAATCATGAAAAGAAAGTCAACCAACTTGAAAGAGAGAATCAAAAACTTAAGGAGAAAATAATTCCTTGGGCAAGAGGAAGTTAATGACATTCTAAAACACCAAGAAAAAAACAAAACAAAATCAAAAGAATGAAAAAATAGAAGAGAAAGTAAAACATCTCATCAGAAAAACAACTGATCTGGAGAACACATTAAGGGGAAATAATGTAAGAATAGTTGGACTACCTGAAAATTATGATTAAAAAAAAGAATCTTGGTATAATATTACAAGAAATTATCAAGGAAAACTGCCCTGAAGTTCTTGAACAAGAATTCAAAGAAGAAATAGAAAAAAAAATCCACCAGTCTCCACCTGAAAGAGATCCCAGAAGGAAAAATGGGGAAAGAAAAAAAAAAAAGGACATTTAACGAACTGAGACTTTCAGGTTTTCATGACAAAAACCTCAGGACTTAAGGGAAAACTGACATATAACATCCAGGAGAAATACAAGGTAAACATCAAAAACCAATTATAAAATACTGTCAAATTGTTTACTTCTTGAATGTGAAAATATTAGCAGTATTCTTATGACTCATTATTATTTGGGTAGTTAGAAAGAAAAGTTTGGGATGAGCTGACAGGATGTTCTAAAAAAAGAAAATTGTAGGGAAAGATAAAAAGGAGTATATATCTCATACAAATGAGGCGTAAAAGGAAAACTTCACACAGAAGAAGCCAGAAGAGGGGAGGATGGGTAGTGCTGGAACCTTACTCTCATCTGGAATGGGTTAAAGCAGGAACAACAGACAGACACAGACACACACACAGACACACAGACACACACACACACAATGGTATAAAAGTCTTCTAAATTCAGAAAGAAACAAGAGGGCAAGGGGATAGGGTTGGGGGAGAGGATAAGAGAGGAACTTTTGGAGGGGTGGGTAGGTTAAGAAATAGGAGGGCAAGGTAGCGGGTAGAAATAAAGCAGAGGAGTGAGTAGGGATAGGACAAATAGGGTGAGAAGGATAGTGAAGAAAAATAGGAAGGAGAAAAACACACAAGTAATTGTAACTTAGAATGTGAATGGGATGAATTTACCCATAAAACGGTAACAGCAGATTAAAAATTTGAATTCAATATATTGCTTTCAGGAACCACTATAAAAATGAGAGATAACACACAAAGATAAAATAAAGCACAAGAGTAGAACTTATTAGGTAAAAATAACAAGAGTAGCAATCACGCTCTCAGACAAAGTTAAAGTTAAAAGAGATTTAATCAAAGGAAAAAAAAAGAGAAACTATACTATATGTCAGCAATATTACTCAATATTGTTTTACACCATTTAAAATAACTAGACAGTATAAAATACCTGAGCGTATACTTGCCAAAACAGACACAGGAATTATATGAACATAAACACAAAACACTTTATATAAATAAAGTCAGATCTAAATAACTGAAGTAACATTTATTGTTCATGGGTAGGTAAAGTCAATATAACTTTAAAAAAAACAATTTTACCTAACTATTTATTCAATGTCATCCCAATTAAATTACTAAAAAATTATCTGAGTTAGAAAAAAATAGTAACAAAGTTTATTTGGAAGAATAAAAGGTTAGGAACTTCAAAGAAATCAAGGAAAAAAGATGTAAAGGAAGTAGATTCAGCAGTATCAGATCTTAAACTATATTAGAAGGTAAGGGCATTGTTGAAGTGTAAAATGGATAATTTCGATTATTCTAAGTTAAAATTTTCTTGTATAAATAAAACCTATGTAGCTAAGAATAACAGGAATGCAGAAAATTAGGAAAAAACTTCCACAGACAATCTCTCAGATAGGATGGTACTGGGTTGGAATATTGCCGTGGAAATGATTAGCTGGTTGATTTAGAAAAACATGGAAAGACTTGGACTGATGAAGGAAGATGCTATCCACCTTCAGAGAAACAGATGACAAGTGGAAATAAGCATAGTATGGTCTTATATATGTGTATGAGTATATATGTATATATATATGTGTATGTTTATAGATATCTATGTATATGTATATATATCCATGCTTAACTGTAGTCTTCTTTAGGATAGGAGAGGGAGGGGAGGGAAAAAGTAAAAAGTATACAGCACAGAACAAAAGAAAATCTACAAGGACGAAAGAAAAGCTGGGCAGCTTTGAAAATAATGTGCAGTATTTGTTATACAGGTTTTCTTGAAATGGAAATTTATTGTATTATAGTGAATTCTCTCTTATGTTCTGCTGTGTATATGGCAATAGTTTTCTTTTCTTATTTTGTATTTCAGTCTAAAATAAATAAATTTGCAAAAAAAAAAAAAAGTTTGCTGCTTCATTTTAGCTATCTAGCCCAATCCCTTGGTCACAGTAGGCCTTTTTCTGAATTGCATCTTATATCCAATAAATTTTTTTCTGTATAATTATTTAGGTCAGGACATAGAGTAAATAAAGCGTATGGATTTTATGACAACTATTCACTGGTTAAGTACCTAAAAAGTCTATTTCTGGTCCAAGATCTAAAGAAAGGTCTCATATATATGAAAATATTTATGGCAGTACTTTTTGTAATATTAAGGAATTAGAAACAAAACAGATATGTGTTAACTGGGGAATGGCTAAACAAATTTGTAGTTCATGAATGTAATGGAATATGGCTACTCCATAAAAAATAATGAATATGAAGACTACAGAGAAAGTGAGAAAGATTTAAATTACTTGATGCAAAGCAAGTAAGGAGAACCAGGAAAACAATATACACAATGACAAGACCAAAAATGCCCTTGAAATTGAATAATGTGTAATTCTAATGATCAAGGTTAGTCCCACAGAAACAATGAGAAAATGATGGCTTCTGAAGTCCCTTCTATGATTCTATGACCTCTCTCTTTCCCTTCCTTGCTGAACTGGGAGACTGTCAGTGTAGAGCACTGCACACATACTGTCAGACTCAGTTGATCAGTGGGTGGGTTTTGATGAATGGTTTTTCCCCTTTTTTCATTTGTTACATGGGATTGCTGTCCTTGGGGGGAAGGGATATACTCCCTCATAAAAGTGACATAAACATCAAAGATGGCAATAAATTTTAAAAATTAAACTAAATTAAAACTTGTTTCAGAGATCATAGTTAGCTGCATTCCAAATGGTTTGTTGTAAGTCTGAACTCCAAAGTAAAAGTATTTCTGACCCTTCATAAATGGTTGCTCTTCCTAGCAAGCACAACTTTTATGAACACAGATAGAATGCTTTAGAAAGATAATTCTTTAAACCTAATTCCTCAAAGAACTTGTATCATTACCAATATAAAACTTTTAAAAATATAATTTTTGAACAGAAAATAGGGCAAGTTTTTTTTGTTTTACTACAATTTGTTTGGCATTTAATCTCCAGGATACTTCTTGGAATACTACTATTAATAAAATAAAAGTTCTTACCGGAGGAGACTTTTTCATTCTGCTTTTCATAAAGAGTACCCACAGACATCAGAAAAACTATGACAAGGAATACTGGAATCTTCCAGGAGCCAGCCAGAGATGCTGAAAATAAATGGTAAACAAGTCTAAGCCCTCTAAAACAATGTAACGACTTGAATGCACAGTTATTATATGTGTGTGTGTGCTGTGTGTGTATATAATTGAAACATTTAAAACTCTACACTATAGACTAGGTTTTGGAGGGAAAAAAAGTAAACAGTGTGCTTCTGTGTGAAATACTCTCATCCAGCTCTGGAAATGCAGATCCAAGCCAGAGCTTTCCCAAGCTGCTGGTCACGACTCTAGGAGACTCTGACTGAGCAAACCCAGAAGAGGTTACCCCCTAGTACATTTTAAAGGATTCTAATCCTTCGGTGATAAAAAGCCTTTCTATGTCAGGGCCAAAATGCTAACCATCTGTGTCAAAGCTTCTATTTGTCCCTTCAAAGATGGGGCCTGGCTGGATTTCCTAGGACTTCAGATGAGCTCACAATATTCTGAATTTCCAGAAAAGGGTGAGGGCATAGATAATAAACTAGAATATTCCTCTCTTTAATGTATAAAGTTTAGATACTAAGGGGTTGCCAGGGTACAGATCTGTTTCTTCTCCTCAATCTCCCAAATTCAACATGGTCAAATAAAAAACCAAAGGGCTACTGGAATAAATTCTCCAAGAAATAAGCAAGAACACGGAAGTCATACTTTGAAGATTATGGGGTGAGAGTAGGAAAGGTAATCTTGAACACTATTAAAAAACACTGACCAAAGGTGTCTCACAGAAAAACAGAAAAAATGACCTGGTAAAGCAATATATTTTTCTAAAAAATATTTTAAATATTGTGCTGTTTTAGGTTATATGACTTTGTTTTTCAATTGCAAAAAAACAAAATTCTAAAAGCAAACATCTAACAAAATGAAAAGATGAAAAACTGAACATGTAGCATTTAGTCAGAAGTTAAAGTTTCTAAAAATCTAATAGGATTTTTAATAAATCTAAATTTTTAAATAAATCTAGAAATATCTACTTTACTTTACATGGCACACCTCTTCGTATCAAAAACAAGTGACCCACCTAAATGGAAAAGTAATATAATCCAGACAGGAATTGAAACTGCTCTCAAGTAGCGTTCAGTACTTGGATTCCACTTGAATAAAACAGCCAACACATAGCCAACTACCAACGTCCAGATCTTTAGGAATAAATGAACAGAAAATATAAGGTTGAAAAAACATGGATATGTAAATAAACACAAACATACCTTCATTATACAAAACTTCCAAGCATTTGTATTTTAAAACCGCTATTGTAGTAGTTCTCTACTATACATATTAGGTTGTTAAGATGAAGAAAGCAGTTTTAGGAAAGTTCTTACATCTTCTCTTATTTTAAAAAAAATAAAAAATCATCCTTTTGGTTGAAAATTGTCAGATGTTCAAAAATGTAAATTTAGCAGCTTCACATTAAAGGCGGTGAGGGTTTGGAATATGATATAGCAAAGGAGCTACAATTACAACCAAGAATCACCTACACAACAAAACTAAGTGTATAATCCTTCAAGTGAAAAAACTATATATTTAGTAAAATAGAGGACTTTCAAACACTCCTAATGAAAAGACCAGCACTTGGCAAAGAATTGGAAATTGAGAGGATGCCCATCAATTGGGGAATGGCTGAGCAAGTTGTGGTATATGAATGTGATGGAATATGATTGTGCTATAAGAAATGACGAACAGGCTGACTTCAGAAAAACCTGGAAAGACTTGTATGGTCTGATGCTGAGTGAAGTGAGCAGAAACAAGAGAACGCTGTACACAATAACAGCCACGTTGCATGATGACTAATATTGATAAACTTAACCCTTACTGGCAATACAAGGATCTAAGACATCTCCAGAGGCCTTGTGATGGAAAATGCTATCCACACCTAAAGAAAGAACTATGGAAGCCGAATTGCTAATTTTTTTCTCTTCTGTTGAGTTGTGTTTCCTCTTTCTCATGGTTCTTCCTATTGGTTTTAATTTCTACTTACAACATCACTAATGTGAAAATATGTTTAATATGAATGTAAATGTATAGCCTATATCAGATTATGTGCCATCTTGGGGAGGGTGGTGGGGAGGAAGGGGGAGAAAAATTTTAAACTCAAAAGCATATGGAAGTGATTATTGATAAATCAAAATAAATTAATTTAAAAAGTTAAAAAAAAAGACCAGCACTGAATAAAAAAATTGACACTCAGACAACTCAAGAAAAGCAGAAAATGATAAATGTGAAAGAATAACCATAAGGGACTCAATAAAGTTATTTTTTTATATGCCTATATGTGGGGATGATATATACAATTCCTAAGAACTTTATCATTATTACGGCAGTTAAAAAGGAGTTTACATAGAACAAAGCATGGGTATGAGTCAATTTTGTGGGAATGATCTCCAAAAAAAATGAAGGGGTAAGAAAGAGGGATGCACTGGGAGAAGAGGTGGGGAAAATTTTCTCACCTAAAAGAGATGTGCAAGGAAGAGCTTTTACAGAGAAAGAGAAAATGGGGGAAGCAGGTAGGCAATGCTCAAATCATACTCTCACAGGAATGTGTTCAAAGAAAAAAGACTATATTTACACATAGAAATGTAACTTACCCAACAGGGAAATAGAAGGGGAAGAGGATAAGAGGAAGAAGGGGATGATAAGAGAGGGCAAATTAAGGGAGGCAGTGATTAGAAGTAAAACAGAGTTTTGAGGATGGATGAGAGAGAGAAAGAGAGAAAGAAAGAAAGAAAGAGAGAGAGACAGAAGATAACGGGATGGAGGGAAATATATAGTTAGTAATCATAACTGTGAATGTGGATGGGATGAGTTCACCCATATAACAGAAAGGGACAGCAGAATGGATTAGAAATCAGAATCCAACAATTGGTTGTTTATAAGAGACACACTTGAAACAGAAAGACACACACAGAATTAAAATGAAGGGCTGGAACAAAATTTAATATGCTTCAGCTTGGGTAAAAAAGGCAGGGGTAGAAATCATAACCTCAGACAAAGAAAAAGCAAAAATAGACATAATTAGTAGAGATAATCAGGGAAACTATAAGATGCTAAAAGGTACCATAGATAATGAAGTAATATCAAAAAATTTTCCAGCAAGTTTCTCTGATAAACGCCTCATTTCTCAAATATTTAGGAGACTGAGTCAAATTTATAAAAATAGTAGCCACTCCACAATTGATAAACAGTCAAGGGATATGAACAAACAGTTTTCAGAAGAAGAACTCATAGCTATCTATAGTCATAGGAAAAAATGCTCTAAATCACTACTCCTTAGAGAAAGGCAAATTAAAACACAACTATCAGAAATGATAGAAATGCTGAAGGGGATGAGGGAAAAACAGGTACATTAATGAACTGCTAGTTGAGTAGTAAAATAGAGAAACCATGTACAAAAGTATTTGTGGCAGCTCTTTTTGTGGTGGCAAAGAATTGGAAATCAAGGGGATGTCAATCGATTGGGGGATGGCTGAACAAGTTGTGGTATGTGATTGTGATGGAGTATTACTGTGTTATTAGAAATGAGAAGGGGGGTGGTTTCAGAAAAAACATGGGAACACCTATATGAACAAAGTAAAGTGAGAAGAACTGGGAGATCACTGTGTACAGTAATAGCAATATTGTAACGATGATCAACTGTGAAAGACTTGGCTGCTCTGATTAATACAATGATCCAAGACAATTTCAAAGGATTCATGATGAAAAAATGCTATTGACCTTCAGAGAAAGAACTAATGAATTCTGAGTGCAAACAATATAATTTTCTTAACTTTCTTTATTTTTCTTGCTTTTTGGGGGAAATACGGCTAATATGGAAATATGTTTGACATGATATCACATATATAATCGACAGTATATTGCTTGTCTTCTCAGTGAGTATGAGAGGGAGGCAGAGAATTTGAAACTCAAAATTTAAAAACAAAAGAATGCAAAAAATAAATAATAATTATTATTTTTTAAAGCAAGAGGTCTTTAAGTGATCAAAAAGTTCTAGGCAAAAAGTCAACTTCTATACAGATCTCCATGGTAGACTATCAAAATTCTAAATGAAAAAGGACTCTGTGGTACAGAATAATATGATTAGGGCAAAAGAAAGATAAAAAATCCTGGCGTTCAAAGCCTGATTAAAATTTAACTACCTATCTTTCGCTTTAGTTCTACTGTATCTACTTACAATCTACCTCCAAGTTTCACTCAGTTTATCCTGGCCATCCAAAGCAGTTGACCTATCTGATCTTAGTGTTTCTAATTCTCATCCCACTTACGAATAGCATCTCAATTCTGGTTCTTTTGAGACACTGAGTACCTTCAACGAAAATCTGCATACTGACTTATTTCTAGTTTTTCCTACTAACATCTCACAAATGCTTCTATCCAGGTCTCTACCTAACTCCCTTTGGGGATACTGACATTGATTGTTTAACTGATCTCATTTCAAGATATATATGTGGGATGCTACTGCTAACAAGAATACATTCAAGAGTTCATATACAAGGAGGAAAGGGCTTGTTCTCCCGACATTCTTGAGTTATTCTTCTCTACCAAGTGTCTGACACTACTCATATGAATGCTCTCATTTTTTATTAAACATTCACACATTTATTAAATTTATTTTTACAATGAACAGAGCCATTTGTGTTATCTTTTCTGTTATTTCTAGGTTTGGTGTCATTCACTTGAAAACCACATTCAGAGGCCAGAGGAAGGGCTTCTAAATGAATTGTACATAGTTATCTTCCTTAAACACACTACCATAAGTCTGACACAGAAACTATTTTTCTGCCCATTTCCTCTGATTCCTAATTCCAAATGCTGAGAATTTTTATTAGATATTATATGGTGGTATCCTAGGCCACTTCACAGGGAGTAAGCAACCTTACAGTCCAAGTTTATTAAGCTTTCCCCCCAACTTTAGGTCCCCATCAACACCTTAGAAATACAAATTTACTTAATAATTTAGTACTAGATATGTGAAAAGGTATAGGAATTTGGAAAGAATCTAGGATGTTCCTAAAAGTTAGTGGGGTTAAAAAATAGATTCTTTGATACACATATATTCTATCATCATTAGCCTCTGTTTCCTAGAAGTAGGGAAAAGGCAAAAAAAATCTGGTTTATCAAGGGTTTTCTGTATTGACGATTTATTTCAGAATTTCTCTGCCAGAAGAACTTTAATCACTGACTTTCAGATTATGTTAAGAGTGGATATATTTTGAAACCTCTTTCCCAGTTACTCTATGGCAAATTTTAAAAAATAATGTAAACTCTTTAGTTTTTTTGTTTTTGTTGTTGTTCAGTTGTGACCAACCTTTCATGACCCCATTTGAAATTTTCTTGGCAAAGATACCGGAATTGTTTGCCATTTTCCTCTCCAGCTCATTTTACATATGAGGAAATGGAGGCAAACAAAGGTGAGTTGCCTAGGTTCACACAGCTACTAAGTATCTGAGGCCAGTCAGATCTTTCTGACTTCAGGCCCTGTGCTCTATCCACTGCACCACCTAGCTGCCCAAACTCTTAAGTATTACTAGTTTATTTAATGAATATTCTCAATTCATAAATTTCATTCTAAGTCTAACTGACCTATGAAATATGTAATTTTAAAAATTCCAAGGAGATTTAGGCAAGATTAATGTACTTAGAATTTTGTCAGACAGCCGAGTGAAAGCCTCCTATATCACACATTTAACAACCAGCAATAATTCAACAGTAATTTTAAAATGATGTTAATGCTTAAGTCCCTCTCCCAACTTCATCCCCACTTCCACCTCTTGGAATTCCTGGCTTCCCTCAAATGCATAGCTCAGGTACCACCTCCTATACCAGAATGTTCCAATATCCCCAGAGGAAATTACTGTATTCTGTATATACTTCCTAGTTACTTTTATGTTTTTCTTTCTCTTTGCCCTCCTCAACAACCCCCCTTTCCCAATAGAATGGAAACTCCATGCAAGAGGAGGCTGTTAAGTTTTGCCTCTGTATCCCCTAAATGTCTGTAATAACACTCAATGAAATTCTATAATTAGGGGGAAGAAAAATAAGTACAATTATTAACATTAACACACACAAGTGTGAAGAGGAAAACTTGGACCAAGATAACTAGATTCACCCCTCCCCCTCATCCTCACATGTCAAGATCTGAGATCACCATCGGAGAAGATCATTGACCGAGTGCTGGAAAGGTCCTCAGAAGCCACCAATTCCAACCCCTTATTTTACAGATGAGAAAACTGAGGCTCAAGGAGGTTCAGTAGCCTATCTAAAGTCACATAGATGGTTTAACTGTTATTATATATTTTTATCAATGATTCAGATAAAGGCTCAGATGGTATGGTCATCAAATTTACCCATGCTAAAAGCTGAGGAGAATAGAAAACCCAATGGATGACAGAGTCAGGATCCAAAAGGATCTTGACAGGCTACGCAGCTGCGGCTTTGAGGCCACATGTGGCCTTAGGTTCTTGGGTACAACCTTTTGACTGAATACAAGTTTTACAGAAGAAATCCTTTTATTAAGGGGATTTGTTCTGTGAAGTTTGGATTTGGTCAAAGGGACACACTTGAGAACCTAGAGGGCCACATCTGGCCTCATGGCTGCAGGTTCCCCACTCCAGGGCTACAGTATTGGGTCGAACCTAACAGATGAAATTCAATAGAGATTAATTTAAATTCTTGCCAAGAAAAGAATAAAAACAAAACAAAACAAAAATTTCACAAATATGAGATGGGGTAAGTTGGACAGCAATTGTTCAGATAGCTGTCTTCAAATATCTTAAGGATTGTCACACGAAGGAGGGATTAGGTTGTTTTAGCGGCGCCCCGCCCCGTGACAGAAGCAGGAGCAATGAGAAATGAGCAACAGGTGGGAGTTCAAAAGATGTAATTTCAGCTTCAAAGTCCGATGAGAAAAAAAACAAAAACTTTCCTAGGAATTAGAACTGTCCAAAAGCGGAATAGGCCTTCATAAGAGGCAGTCTAAAGATGTGAGTTCTAATCCAATATCAGACACTAGCAATTCAGACGCTGTCGGCCTCAGTTTCCTCATCTGCAAAATGGGGATAATAGGATAATTTTACAGGATAATAGGATAATAACCACGCAGCGTTGTCGTGATGATCAAATGAGCTCACACAAGTAAAAGTGCTTTGCAAACCTTTGAGTATTATCTAGCTATTATTATAAATTGGTCTTCCTTTGGAATCTGAAGCATGTTTTTTGAGGAGGGACTGCCAAAGAGGTCCAAAAGGTTTAAGAACCCTGTAGATCGGGGAGGGGACGGGGCGTGCCTCGACGTGCCTCGGCGGGCGCCCGGCGCACTCACCCACAGCGTGTTGAAGTAGTCCAGCCCCTGGCGGATGAGGGCGCAGGCGTAGGCCAGCAGCACCTGCACGCCCAGGTAGCTGCCCAGGTGGTAGAGGGCGTAGAGCAGGGGCGCGCCCGCGCCCAGCAGCAGCAGCAGGCGGCGGCGCCGCAGCACCTGCTCGCCCAGCGCCTCCACGCCGTAGTTGGCGAAGCAGAGCGGCAGCAGCAGGGCGGCCAGCACGATGGGTGTGTGCGCGCGGTGCAGGCGGCGCAGCCAGCGGCGGCCCAGGCGCGTCAGAGAGCTCTTGAAGGGATGCAGGAAAGTGCCGCACAGCACGGCCCACAGCAGCGGTCGCAGGAAAGCCTCGAGGATGAAGTACACGAGCACGGCGGCGCCGCAGCACAGGCACACGAACAGCACGGCGCCCGTGTTGTAGAAGGCCTGCTTGATGGGCTTGTCGAAACGCAGCGCCAGCCCGACCGGGGGGACCCCGCCCCCCGCCTCCCCAGGCGGGGGCGCGGGCGCCCTCGTTGGACCTTCCCGCAGCGGCAACGGTAGCGGCGGCGGATCCCGGGCCACTGCCCCTCGGCCCGCACCTCCGGGAGCCGGAGCTACGGCCGCCCCCGCCTCGCTGTCCTCTCCCCGCGGCGACAGCCGGGCAGGACTGGAAGAGCCCGAGGTCGCTCTTCCCACAGCGCCCAGGCTGTCAGCCATGGTGGCGCCGCCTCGCTCGCCGGCGGGGGAGCTATGAGGGGGTGCAGGAAACGGTATTGGCCGGACCACGGAGGGCGCGGGGGTTCATGGGACTTGTAGTTCTCCGGGCGCTGGGATTCTTGAGTGGGCCGGAATGAAACTACACCTCCCTAAAGGCACCTTGTATCTTGTGCCCTGGGGCTCCTTACCATCCTGCCTGCTGTCAGCTATTTACCCAGGGCAGCTGCCTTGCAAACATTGTGGAAGATCTAGTCTGCTGGTCTACCCTGGGGTCGCGATGAAAATACGGGCTGTGTGTTAATCCCGAGTAAATGACCTTTCACCCATTTTCTAAAATGAACAGTCGAATAGGTCGAGAATAACTGATTAGGCAACAGTTAAAAAGTAACAAAAATTTAAATTACGAATCCTTAAACAAAGGCAAAAATTAAAATTGAGGGTTTGTAAGCAAAGACTTCAGAAAGCACCGGTGTGGGAGTCGGAGGCTTGGCTAAGCCACTTAACAAACTTTTGTGACCTTCGACTAGTTGGTTCACCTTCTGGACTTCATTGCCCTCATTTATGAAATAAGAGGTTTGGAAAACAGGACTTAGAAGGTTCCAGCTCTGGAACTCACCAGCTTTTGATTCTAAAGCAAAACCAACAGCAACCGTGAACCCCAAATTCCTGACTGCCATGTTTAGGTATGAAATAAAATAATAGGTCTCTTAGACTGAGCCTCACTTCTCTCACTTCAGGGTCTACTCTGGTAAAGCTTCCTATGAGAAGACCAAAAGTAAACATCTGGCAGGGCAGCTAACTGCCTCATTCCTAGTCCTACTTGTTTTTACACATTCCAACACCAGAGGTCCCATAGTAAATCTTTACTCAAAGCAACAGCAGACTGCCCTGTCAATTGGTTTCTTTACTTTCTCTTTTCATAAATATACATATTATTCAAACAGCCTTTGTAGTGGGATGGGGATCCAGGAAAGGACTGCTGTGTTTGCAATTTTTTTTGCATATAATCATGACAAGATTTTTGAGGGGAAAATGAAGCTGTTTAGGGCCTCTCTAGGACTGTTTGTTCCACTAATTGTGCCTAAAGGAGGAGGAAGCAGGCATACAATGTTGTAAAGGGAATGTTGTAAAGGAAATAGAAGTCTAGGAAGAGTTAAGTGGGAGGAAACTCATTCTCTGAGTAGAATCTTGGAAGGTTCCAAGTATATCAGTAGAAAAGCTCTCTTCAAGGCTCAGATCAAATGCCTGTTCTGATTCTCCCCAGTTGTTAGTACCCTCCCTACCTTCCCAAAACTACTTAGCAGTTACTTGTGTATATTTTACATCCACCTCTCTGTGTACCTACCTGTGTGTGCATAGCACAGTGCCTGGCTGTGCATGTTGACTAGTTCACATGCTATTTTTACTCCCAATAAAATGTAAACTCCTTGAGGGTCAGAATGCCTTCGTACTTAACAAATGGTAGCGATGATATAGCACTTTTAGGTTTTCAAAGCTCTGTGTGTAGGCTGGCTCATTTGATCCTTACAACTACCCTATTTCCCATTTTACAGATAAAGAAACTGAGGCTGAGATAATGTTAAGTGGCTTGCTCAGGGTCATACAGCTAGTAAATGTCTGAGTTGGGATTTGAATTCAGGTCTTCCAAACTCAAGTTGAATTGTTGTTGAAAATTAGGATAATTTTATTTTTGTCCTCTTGAACTTTAATTTAAACTACTAGGAAACTTGGGGGGGAGGGAAGAAAATCAGAGGCAGTTTGGTATAGTGGAAAAAGTTCTGGCCTTGGACTCAAGACCAAGGGTTTGAATCTCAGCATTGATCTAATCAGAATCTGTATCTAATGATATAATGCAGATGTTTTGGGCCAGGCACTTCATACATTGTTTTCCAATTTGAATTAAGTGCTATTTGTTCATGGATCACCTTGGCCAAATAAACCTTCCTAATGGCCATCTTGTTGACAGTGAGCCACCCCATATTTAATGAGCCATAGCTATTACCACATTTGTAGCTTTATCGGGTTTTGTGGGGCCATTCAAAACTTGTGCTTCATTGGCATGAGAACCCAGGATCGCCTGCACATTCACAGTAAAGTACTGGAGTAGGATTTTTGTCACCCTGAATTGCCCGACATAATCAGTGTCTAGAGTATGAAGTTTTTTTCTTGTCCAGATGGATTAGAGACTTGTAGAAGATCCATACCAACTAATTTCCAACCATGCTACAAGCAAAGCAGAGCAACTATTTTTTATCCTTGGAATAAAAAGAAATATTTTATCAGTACTCTTAATACAGTGGACTGCAGGTAGATGGGTGCAGCATCCTGGGCATCTGTGGAATGACATTGTCATCATCATAGCCACCATTTATATAGCACTTTATGGTTTTCAAAGTGCTTTACAAATATTATCTCATTTTATCTTCCCAGCAACCCTGAGAGATGGACACTATTATTATTCCCATTTGACAGCTGAGAAAATAGAGGCAGACAGAACTCAAATGATATGCCCAGGGCCACACAGCTAGTAATTATCTGATTTGAATTCAGTTCTTACAGACTCCAGGTCCAGTCCTCTACCTGTTGTACCACCTATTTGCCTCATCAATGTCTTCATGACTCACGTGATCAATCAGTGTGGGAAGATGAATCAAAGACTACTCTATGAGAGCCAATCATGAGGTTTGTCTCCAACACAACCACACCAACTTAAAAAAATTAAAATTAATCAAATTTAATTAAAATTAAATAGCAAATAAAAGGGGTATTTCTATACACACACACACACAGTAGAATAGAAAAAGAAGATTGAACAAATGAAATGATATTTAAGTAAGCCACTTGGCACAGTGCCTGGCACATAGTAGGTACTTAATAAATGCTCGTTCCCTTCCCCTTCCCTCTACTTGGAAGTGTGAATCATGTATCACACACACACACACACACACACAATTAAACAATTTTTTTAAAAGCTATCCTGTTTGTCTGTTGTGATTGTATAAACTGGTTTCCTGATTCTGTTCACTCAACTCAAAATTAGTCCCCACATACTTATTCTTCACTATTTACAGCCTAACCTCGGAGGAAGCTCCCAACTTTATTTTTTCTGTGCCAATGATTGGTCAATTGGCATATTTCTAACCCTAACACAATTCAGACACCCACAGCCGTGACAATGTAGGTGCCATTGTGAAAATTACCTCCCCTCCCAGCATGCCCATTGAGAAAAAAAAAATAGTGATAGAAGTGCATGATCAAAAAAAGTTTGGAGAGAATTTCTATAAAGTTGCTCTAAAGGTCTCTAAAAGTATTCTGAAAGATCAGACATCCCCTTCACCAACACAAATCTAAACATCTCCACGACTAAGTAAGTGATCTGGAGAGCTGCTGTGGCCAAGGTATTAATTACCTGCTGCCCTCCTGAGCTCTAAACTTAGCTAGGCTGGCTCTCAAACCAGTGAGAGGCAGTCTTTCACTCTACTTGTACTAAAAACCTTTCTTGCTTGGTAGAACTTGCCAAAGCCCATATGTGCCTAACACGGTTTTTGAGAACCCAATGTCACCTCCCTACCACTATGAGACATTGGAGTAGGACGTTAATGGAGAACAGGGAGATAGGGGAAATATGAGAGCCTTCCCAGTGACACAGATTCAGAGAAGTGAGAAAGAAGAGAGCATTCATTTAATTTCAACAAACATTCGTTAAGTACTTCCTATGTGCAAGGAACCATTGTGGATGTTAAATATACAAGATAGATATGACAGCATTTACTATCAAGAAGTTTGCCATCTAAGAAGGTTGAAAAAATGTGCACACAAGAATTTTTTTGCTTAACTGTACATGTTTATAATGGGCTTCATTTTTCTTGCTTTCTTCAATTGGGTAGGCATAGTGGGAGGGAAAGAATGTGAAATAGAAAATAAAAATAAAATTTAATTTTAAAAAAATAGAAAAAGGAAAATAGAAGTCCAGGCAAAGTGCTATGGAAAATTTAAGGAAGAATATATTACTTTTATTTGGGAAAGAGGAAGAAACAGGAATAGTTTCATGAAGAAAATAGCTTCTGGAAAGTTTTATTGAGATAGCTTCTAAACTGGGCCATAAAGCAAGAAAAAGAACTAAGAACAGTGGCTTTAAAGCTGGAAAGAATATTAATGATCGCCTAGTCTAAGCTGCTGATTGTGCAGATGAACAAATTGTGGTCAACAGAGAGGAAGTAACTCACAGCTGGGATTCCAACCCACTTCCTCTGACTCTAGTTGCTGTATTCATTCTATTACACTGTAATAATAATAATAATCTCTTAATAAAAAGATTTGTTCTGTGAAATTTGGATTCCGTCAAAGGGGCTGCACTTGAGGACCTAGAGGACCACATGTGGCCTCGAGGCCACAGGTTCCCCACCCCTGGTATAGACTTCAATAGGGAGGTTTCTTCTGGGTAAGGGAGGCAGTGAGAGCAAGATGTGGAGATGGGAGAGGTCAGGGCAAGAATGGGAAATGGAGTCCCTAAGTTAGAATGATTGGAATAGGGAACAACTCTGCATGGAGTAGAGAGGATGAGCTCAGTCCGGAAAGATAAATTGTAGCCAGACTGGGGAGTAGGAATGCCCAAATCAGGAGTTTATGTCAATTAAATTTAAAAAAAAACATTTTAGAGCCTAGTGAAGGAGGCACAGAGTTTAGGTAAGACATTGTGCTTGCAATTATGGAGATTACAACATAGTAAGAAAGAAGTAGTGTGGCATCATGGCTAAATAGTGGACTTAGTCTCAGGAATCCTGCTCAGACATTTACTATTTAGGCGATCGTGGGTTAAGTTTATAGTGTCCAAGGTTATAGTGATAACTTCTCTGAAACTCAGTTTTCTCATTTATAAAATGTGATGATCAGATTAGATGATCTTTAAAATCTCTTCCAACTCTAGACTTTAAGGATACACTTTAAGGCTGTATGTTTTCATTTCCTCAAGGATTTAGGCTTTTAAATTTGTCATGGGTCTCTTTCTATAATAT